AGTGCTTAGTGCTATGCCTACACCTGCTAGCTATCGAATCTCCAGAAAATCGAAGGGTGAATTTTGTGGATTCACCAGATTAGTCGGGAGAAGTCAGATGAATAACTGCACTTAGGTTCTGTATGCGTGTCTCACAAACACAGCACACATCTTTGCCCCGAGTTGCTAGAGTCTTTTCCAGCAAAGCCTGTTGACCAATTTGACGGAGGGTTCGGACATTGAAGGCTCCAATATGTAATTTGGAGTGTAGTTTAAGGAGACCAGGGATGCTGTTTTGTGGACTCAGATTGTTGTCAAAGGCTGCAGAGCTAGGAGACATTGAAGATGATTTAGTATCGTTAATTGAGAGGTGTGAGGGAAGATTAGGAGGTAATGATGAGAGAGGTGGATAGGAATCTGAAGAAACTTGAATGCTGACAGAGTTGTGTGGGCAGCTGACACGTCCCGGCTGCCCACACCGTCGAAGTCTATTTTTCCTAAGGTACCTAAAAGGGATTTGTGTGACCGCGGAGCCCACCGGACATCTGCTTGAAGCCTGTCACACTCAGCTTTTTGTGCATGGCTGTTTCGAACTTTTTTGTTTTGAGGCCGTATGGTTGAAAAGAAACGACAAATGAATCAACACCGCCGGTCTGGCAGACCGTGGGTTATGGTGGAGTGTTTTTTTGGGTGGGGGTAAACCTCTTCTGACCCCCGCTTCCACTGAGAAGGCAGCATCAGCATGGCACTGCTGGTCATCCAAGGGAAAGACCTTACTGCTGTCACACCTCATCCAGCTAGCAGCAGTATGACTTCGCCCTCAGACCCCCATAATAGTGCAGTAATTTACACCACAACAGTAACTGCTTTTCTGCTAACCACAATCCAACAGACCTTTCTGTTATGATAGGACCTAGATCCACCAGCATAGCTCGTTGAGTCATTGTAATATGCAAGCCCGACCACCACGTCAACGTAGCAGCCGTCGGTCTGGACAGGACCCAAGTGTGATTATTAAATCCACCTCACCTCACCAGTGGGGTGAATCTTCAAAATTCACCTTACGAGTTTCCAGAGAACCAATGGCAAGCTCTCCTGGACTTGTTGATGTTAGGCATAGCATTGGGCTGTCAGGCAGAAAGTGCGCTTCTCAACTGGATACTAATCAACAGCTGGCTGTGTTCTGTTCGACAGAATGGATTTCGAGAATTAGGAAGGATGGGAAAACTAGGCAATGCTTACTCTTAAGCTTCACCCATCGACTGTGGTACTGATTACTCAAAGGACAAATTGTATGAAATGTCAGTCTTGCTGCGTAAAGCAAAACGTTCAGACATAGTCATGACGGCAGGTGACTTTACTGCTCCAGTAGGTAAACTGAGTCAGTCGGATGACATCTTGGAGGTATCTACAGAATCCCATACCAAAAAACTGACAGTGGTGGTCATCTGTTGCAATTTTGTTCTGACAATTACTTGTTTCTACCCAGGACAAACTTTAGGAATAAGGAGAGACACAGGCTCACATGGCGTTCTCAGAAACCAAACCAAAGGTGGACACAGATAGATCATATTGTTATAAGCTATTGTTGGAGGATTGCAGCTCTTTCTGGAGTACCAGTTTGGACCGCAGTCACGCGTTATTACGGGCTGGTGTATGTCTGCGTCTTATTAGCAGCAGGAAACAGACTATAGTGAAGCCTATGCTAGATCGGAAGATGAGAACATCAGTCCGGATTTACGGAAAGGTTAGCCAAGCATGTGACAGCAATCCTCATCCTGAGGAAACCTGGAGTAATATTAAGTTTGCTATAGAAACAGCGGTATAGATAGTTGGTAACCTGCACCCGAAGGCTAGCAACGTCGTTGGAACTGATTGATGTGAGGAAGACTGATTTCAGCTGGCTTCGATCACGATGTAAAGTGAAAGCAACTTAAGTGTAAATTGACCAAACGTCTACGCGTCGATCGTGAGTGGTGGCTGGCGAAGGCGAGAGAGATAGAGAAGGCATTAATGTTGGTTAACATTCGGCAACTATTTGAACTTACTAAGGATACCAGTAAGATGATGAGTGAAACTATCGCCAAAAAGGATGGGACGCTGATAACCTCCCAGGACAGACGATTGGAATACTGAGCAGAACACTTTGAAGGACAGTTCAACTGGCCCACAGCAACACTTCAGTTGCCCGACATCCAGCCTAGATGGGACGTAGGTGTCGATCCTCGAATTATTGTCGAAGCTGGGAGGTAGTTTCTAAACTGAAACTGTGAGAAGCAGCAAAACCTGATGGTATGCCACTCAAAGTTATTAAGGACGGAGGTAGGAAATCGGTGATTAGTGACGGGGTACTACGTAATTTATGGGAGTCCAAGGTACTGTCGTCAGATTGGTCTACTTCACTAATTATTCCGGTCTATATGAAGGGAGAAAAGTCATTTTGTAACATCATAGGAGAATCAGTTTGACCCATATCGTGTCCATAATTATCCGATGCCTAATTGGAGCTTAGGGGTGAGCAATTCAAGAAAACCCGACATTTTTCAAATCTGGAGGAGAGTGCATCGATCACATTTTCACCCTTCGTCTGGTTCATGAACATACGCTTACTTACTGGCGCCAGACGAGCCATATTTCTTGACCTGAATGCGGGATTCCACTCTGTGGATTGTAAGGTGTCGTGTCAGTGTCTGACTGTGAAAGGAGCATCGAGCAAATATATAACGCCAATGAAACCCCTTTATTCCTACTAGTGCAGCTGTGTAAGTGCTTATTGAGAGTTTTCATGTGAAATGACGCCAACTAGTGGTATCCGCCAGGGATGCCTACTGTTGCCGTTCCTATTTAGTTTTGTTATAGATGTACTAATGGACATTACCTTAGGTACATCTGACTTCATAGGGATTGATTTACTCCATAGACGTCATCTGGCTAACCTGGAGTATGCAGACGATATTGTCCTGATGGGTGAAGTCGCTGACAAGATGTAGGGTTTACTGAACATGTTTAGCAGAAATCTGAGTATGTTAGACATCCGTTTCGCATCTGTCAAACGTGAGATGATGGTCTTAGACTTGTCAGCATCTACTCTAGTTTAATGATGGGTGGTGAAGTGGTGGAATGTGTCGACCACCTCACTTACTTGGGAAGTTGCATCAGCTGGAACAAGCAGGTTGGTGATGAAATGTCAGTTCGGATACAGAAGACCCATCTGACATTTGCCAACTTGTGTCGCCTGTAGTGCCTATTGGCGAGATATTTGACTATCTATGTAAAGACGACTATACTGCACTGCAGTCCGTTCTGTTCCTTTGTACGGTTGTGAGACACAATTGAAAGTAGACAAGAAGCACTCGCAGGGTTTTTGTCATAGGTGTCTTCGTAGCAGTGCTTGCGTTCGATGGAGTCAACATATTAGCAATTCTGATGTCAGAAAGGCGATTTGGTGGATGAAGCTGTGAATCTTCAGCAAGCCTCCTTAATGTCTTCTAAAGCCTAACCTTTATCTTTAAATTGCTTATTCTCTCATATAACTTTGTTGACTTTGGTTTCACTTTTTCTGTCCACTTGTTCTTTGTATACTAGTGTGGAGTGTGGTCACTCGAACCAATGACTTAGGTAGGAGGTTGTACGTTGACCTTGTCTGTCTGTCTTCAGCGACTGGCTTGGACACATGCCAAGCCACCGCCTATTTCGGAATACATTGCTCAGGGTTGTTGGATTAGGTTAGAATTGGATGTATTCACTCCTTGACGTTTCCTAAAGATTGGATTTTTTGACTAAGCTTAGTTTTTAAATCCTTCCCCCCATTCACTTTTGTCTAGTGTGATATCAGTCTTTCGTATCCACTTGTTCTTTGCATGAAGTTTGTGTTAAGTGTGGCAACTTAAACCGATGCACTTGTGTACGAGGTTGTACGTTGGTTTTTTGTCTGTATCTGTGTGTGTTGGAACAAACACTGAAAGAATAGAATGGCCAGACATGGAGCTGGAGATAAGAGGAAGCTACGGCATGACCGTCCTGGTTTCGATTCTGAGCCATATCTGATAACGTTTCAAACCACTGAGTTGCGTGGTCTCCCTCGGACCCCACTCAGAGAGTTCTGATGCACCAACAAATGGTAACGTGATACAAATATCCTTCGTCCTACGGCACCACGTCATACACTAACCACTTCTCCGCTTCTTCCATCCAGTCTCAAGGCTAGCAAACAATGAACAGTATGGAAGCCGTTGGGACAACATACGTAACATATCCAAGCCACTGTGGCCGGTGTTTCCAGATGACCACTTATTGAATGACGATCCCCATCATGCGCAAACGCACGCTGTTGTACCTCGGAATTACTTACATGATGTTACCACCGGATACGAACAATCCTAAGGAGACAACGATGATCGAAATCAGAGTAGTCATACATCCTCAGCTCGGAGATGCTGGATTTCATAGGTGTAGAGCAGAACTCTAACCGAAGCTTTGTAAACGTGACCTTTTACGGTCAGACCAACGTCGCGACGGTGCCATAGGTGGCTCAGCTTGGGGTGCGCCACTATGGTTTTCGATATATGGTTGGAAATTTCTCTACTCACACCTCCACTAGCACCCACATGATACACGTATTCTTCGACTACTCCCAACGGCTCACTACCGAGGGTGAGCTCTGGCACTGCAGGTGGTTTGATCAGAATCTGATACTACGAAAGATATTCTATGGACTCTGTTGATTTGATTTCGTCTTTTTTCTTCCAAAAGGATGTAAGGTGAATAATGTTTATGAGTTTAGTAACCTTACGTGAAATATTGTATAGTTTGGCACAGTGATCATACTAGTGATGAAATCTTATTACCTTATTCTTGTGTTTGTCATAGTTTGCCCGGTTTCATTCCTTTCTATTATAAATTCAGCCTTAATCTTACTACAAGTGACTGTTGAAGTGTATGAAATACTACTCATTCAAAATTTATCTTTTTAGCTGGGAATAATCAAACCTATAGTTGGCTGGTGATCATTTAATTAACAGATGGATACTAAATTGGAGAATGTGCGGGAAAAACTCGAGAAAGGTTCCAAACTTCTATTGAGTAAGAGCTGTCAAGAGGTAAATCAGCGATCGTAAAGCTTTATTTTACTCTTATCTCAGATTGTCAGTTACTTCAATGAAATTTTAGAATGTGATGATATAACGACAAATAACCTTAATTTAATTGAAGCGCTTCTCGGTAGGTTTAAAATAACAATTTGATCTGTTCTAGTGAATGTTAGTGAACATGAACAGTTACTGGAAATATATGAACACATTGTTGACTTTTTATGGTTAAAAGATGTGGATACTCTTGTCAGACCTATAATTTCTATTTTTCTAAGTGATAACGTATGTCTGTTTCCTGGTTTTTCGTAATTTTTGATAACAGTTGGATTCTCTTGAAGATTGGAAAGTTGAGCGCTTATGCTTTCGAATGATTCAAAAGCTAAACTCTGCGTGCTTAGATCCTCTGCTGTAAAGTCTTTTTTTTGTTGCTAATTACCACTCTTTATAATTTTAGTCTGTTTGATATCTTAGCTAAAGCGTTGTTAAGGTTAGAGAATTCGGATTCTGTTTTAAGCTCAATGATTGATTCATTGTGTTCTGTAGAGTATGAAGTATTTTCCATAGCATTCATTATTGTAGGTGGTGCAACGAAAATGTGGTATGTTTATTGGATGTTCTGAGAAACTATGGCTTACAACGAAAATCAATGGAGAAGATTCTAGAAAAGTCTCTTCCTAAGATTATTTCATGGGAAGTAGATAAACTCCAGGCCTTTGTACAGAGTATTCTATTATTTGCATTTCCGGTTTGTTTATATCTCATTTTAAAGATTATTTTATCTAGATCTATATGGAGTTTTTATTTCGACGTCTTTTACCACTCATTTATGGTAACAATAGTTCAAACCGTTCTTGTGAAGTTATACGTGGTCAACTGATGATGCAGATATTTTCTTTGGTTGAAAAAGATGAAAATTTTGGAAGAGTCATTTTTGAGACAGTTAAGGTATTCTTTACTTTTAGATCCGGTCTTATAGAGAATTCCTAATTAAAAAAACAGTCATTATCAAAGTCACAAATTGAACCTGAATTTTATTACACAGTTTTGATGACATTACTTCCTATTCAAAGCACCCAAACTCAGGTAAGTGATATAGCATCTAAAAATATTTCTCGGCTCATTTTCAACATGTATTGAATAACTTTTTGATGTGTAGGACTGATTGTTTTCGATATATTTCGATCAACGTTAAATTCAGGATTACGGCATATTTTAGTTAGTGGTCGCTAGCATGGTCTGTGGGTAGTGTTACTGACTGTACCACTTGCCCAAGAGGGTTTCAATATCGGGATTTGCTGTAGCGGTGGACACAGATTACTAGCATGTAGGACGCTTGGTTTCAAAAGTCCTTTGGTAACCGTGTGCAAATTCATATCGGAACGAATGTCGAGCAAAATGCATTCAGATACTTTGTGCACATTTGTGCGGTAGGCAATTAGCCACACTTATTCTGTGAGGGCTAGAGATACTACCTGGCTTTCAAAACCTTGGTAGGTAGAGGGGTGTCCGAATTCGTAACCTGAATCACTGAGCCACAGCTCCACTTAATTCGTACCTGGAAATCTTGGATATTTTGACCAGTAAGTTAGTTGTAGGGTATATTTACCCATGAATATCTTCTACTGGATTTCAGATGATAAACTGTATAGTGACAAATTATTTGGTTGAGCAACCGAAGTATATGTATGCTCTGAGTGACGTATTTACGATTGTAAACAGTAAACCAAATAGTCTACTCCAATTAACGTAATGCTGTATGGATCAATTCCTGTGATTGAATTGAAGTTGAACATGGTAAGGCAAAGTTACCACACTTTAAAACAAGGTGGAGCAGTAGACTGCTCAGGAATTCGAACTAGATAATGAAGACTGGTACGTTTGTATCTGTGTAAAGCATATTTTAAATCATGTCACTTTTGATGTTAAATAAAATCCGAATATTCTGCTGAAGAAGCTGTGGCATACGCAGCGAAACGTTCAGAAAAATCTTGTTTTTTACTTTCTAAACACGCTAGGATTATATAAAAACTTACCTATATAGTGAATCAACCTGACTCGGCGCTCAACTTCTTTCAGGACATTCGTAAAAACTATGGCCTGGATGTTTATAATCATGTCACTTAGTATCTACTGTTATTTGTTAGTTTCCAACGTCTCATTGGTGTAAGCCTGCAAGTCTATGGTTTCACATGCATCTTAGCGGCGACTTCATGGTTGCATAAATGGATTTGTTGATAGAAAGAAACATATACGACGACTGGTACTTTGCATCTGAAAATAGTGTTTTAACTCGTTCTATCTGTCACTTGGCTTTCAGGTGATTGGTTATAGGCTTTGAAGCAGAATCACTTATTAAGGTCTAAGGATCGCTAGTTCTCATGCATTAACTGTGGCTCATAGCCCAGTATATAAATCTTAGCTTGGCTGTTCACTTGGATTTTTATTGGAGTTACTGACATGGAGAAAAAGTCAGGTTTGCAATGAGATCAAAGTTCATGCTTGAGTATCTTAACATCCTTGTATTTTCAGTCAATGACTATTCGTGGATAACTTGTAGAGATAATATGAAAGTATTGTCTTTAATTATATCTGTGCTAAATCCCACTTGTGTCGTAAACCTTTCCCTATTTGTTTTTAAATTTTGAAGGCCATTCAATTATTAACCATCTCTATTCTGACAGCCTTTTCTGATAGTCACTTGATTTCAGAGTCATCTTTTCTTCGAGGTTTATGCCAATTATCGGAGGACCCTAAAGAAATTATCTTGAAACTCAGTGAAAGATGGTAATTATTCAGTTACTTTATGCTTTTTGTAACGTAATATCGAACAACGTTCATTAAGAAGGCTTTCGTAATTATTTTGTCGCAGACTGTTTACATGTTTATTTTTTTTCTGCTTACTTTTAACGAAAATGTTTACCTTCATTGATCCCTCGACTGTCCTATGAATTTGTACAATGTGATTAACGGTTTATTGATGACTACCATCGCATGGAAAATGTGGGTATCTAATGTACTGTACTTTATATTCTGGATTGTGTTGCATCCGATAACTGGAGGGGGATTTTGCTATTTCTGAGCCTTCTAGAAAGCGTCACTAACTTTTAGATTCAAGATAGGAGTATGGTATGATCGAATATTACTCGATTAAGGATTTCTCGTATTTGCTAAGTTATGAATTAGAAACTGTTGTTATACACCTAAAACACTTTGACACACGACAGTAGATACTAATTGCTGGAATACTGTTCCTATACAACTGAACAACACAGAAAACGGGTCTAGGTGGGCAGGATTTATTGCTCTTCAAAAAGACGAAGACTAACTCAAAATATAACTGAGCCAATAACTGCCAAGTTTAATATCGAAAATTGTTTTCTTAGATGCTGGTTAATTGTCGATGGATAGAATGAGTGTTACTCTACCCCCGGTCAAGGTCAGAGACGGATATTTAGTTGATATTTTGCATGGAGCGGCGCAGTTGTGGACGTCAAAGCCAGGATCGGAAAGACAGCAAGACAGGTCTTCATTAACCTGAAACTAGTGTGGAGATATACTGCACTCATCATAAAGAACAAGATCCGTATTTTCAACACCAACGTCAGGTTGGTGCTTCTGTATGGCTCAGAGACTTGGCACGTTACGAAAGGGATTTCCGACAAACTAAGACATTCATCAGCAACTGCCTACGCTCGATACTGAAGATCAGATGGCCAGAATAATAAGAATAAGCAGAAAGGAACTCTGGCCTGCAACGAACCAACCAAGAAGCTATCGCTTAACAAATATGCAGAAGGAAGTGGAGATGGATTGGACATGTACTGAGAAAGCCGACTGGGGACATCACGTGCCAGGTCGGTCCGTCAAGTGGAACCCAGATAGGAAGCGACGAGTTGGGTGTCCGAGGCGAAGGTGACATGGAGGAGATGGTGTGAGGAATAAATGAAAGCTTGTGGGTGGTCGTGGAACCGGGTTGAAAAGACTGCAGTGAACAGAGTGGAATCGAGACGTGTTACTGAAGCCCTATGTTCCACTAGAAACCCAAGGGATAAATAATCATAAACTTTTGCATGGAAAGCACTAACCAACCATTTATTTTTCTGACCGTTCTAACAAAGTTAGACTGATTATTCCTGAATATTAAGGTGATATGATCATAATAGAGAATGGGAAACAGAATCGGTTGACCACTTTAAAGTAATTAGGTTTGCTAATTAACTTCACGATAAAATTAATTTGGAAGAAGCAGCGTTGTATGTAGGTAAATCGTACCATCATGGCGTCTAGCATAAAGTAGCTAGGTACTCGATGTAGGATTAAGGAGCTTCAGTTTGAATGTCTGTCACATCAAGCCACTGTCCCTTTTTATAGAGCAGCCTAATATAGCACTGATTTTGAAATCTTGGAGAATATTTGTAGCTCAGGTGGATGGTCTTGATTATATTGTGCTCTCTGATTTGGGTTGTTTAATAGATAAATAGACATAGACCCAATCTATCAATCAATAAGAAAAAATGATAAACGACAGAAAGGTCAGAGGTCAGGCAGGAGAACAGCCAAAAGAAAAATCTATGCAGTCAATGACACAACAATAAAAAAACAACCACTAGCAAACCAGTTCGTCAGGGCAAGCTACTAGATCACTCACGAAGAGATATTGACAGCTGACTTCATACTGAAGTTACTGCTGGTGGTGTCGTCTAGAAGGACGATGAAAGCTACACGATTAGACAACCCAGCTCAGAAAACACAATCAACTAAGATAGTACTGGTTATTATGACAGTCACAAGCGCGACATGGAACTACCACTGACAGGGTAATTGTATATCTGTGTTTCTTGAGAATTTATTGTCTAGCGCGTTGAACTGTTGTCTTTAACATACCGGATACGTGTGATCACAAGTTAGCATCATCTGTTGACCTGATGTTAGTGAACTTCTCCCTCTTCATATTGTTTCACTCTAAAGCGCAACTATTATACGGTTACAAAAATGCTTTATTTTAGTTATCTTTTGTCAGACAGTAGTATCTTATAATTTTAGCTTTCAACGTATGCTAAACTATCAAGAATACTTCATCTGTTCATCGGCAAGTGTATCGATCAAGTCACCGGGTTACCGACCCTGTAGCCTACCAACTGAGCCACGAGATCCAGAAGCTAGCCAGGTCTTAAACTTACTTCAGTCATCAAGGGTTATGCCTGGCTACCGTGATGCACAAGTGTCTATTCATCGGATTCACATCGGCCATACAGCTAGACCTCGTCTCTCACGTGCAGACTTTTCCCGTTTTATTATAAAGCATCGTTGGTCCAATTGCCATATCTTTATCATACTTTGATTTGTTCAGTATAAATTGCTTAGATGATTATTTGTTTCCTCTATGCCTTTAGAATTACTCAGCCTCTTTATACCATCATTGTTATCTAGTACATTTGCATGATTGGAATGTGGTTATTTGTCGAGACGTCATATGTCAGTTGGATCAAGGCAATCGGGGCTTCCTGCCAATTGCCTTGGGATTTTGCGTTCCCTAGCTTGGTAGTCACATTGCAAAATGGTCTATATGATATTTTCGACATCCAGTGACCAATCAGCGTTGACGTTGTATGTTTTAAACGCCGTCCAACTGGTCTGTTAAAAATGTAGAGACGTGGATTTTCTGCTTATTGGTTCCCATTCGTCTACTTCTATTCAGCATTTAGAGACTGTAAATGAATTAGTCTCTGAATGATAGTCAGTGCAATATTCTATTCTTCCATCACATTCGTCACCACATAACAATAACCTAATTTGTTTAGGAAATCAGTCGTTACTTGAATGTTTCAGTGATGACTGTAATACTAGACAATATGAGTCGAGGCCTCAGCAGCACAGGTCTTTCCAAGGCTGTACATGAATCTGGGCGCAGTGGACTGCTGTTGCATCTTAGCAAAGCACTCCTCATGTACGACCTCACTTGGGGTTGAACTTAGGACTTTCAGGTTTCACGGTGAACACGTTAACCATTCAGCCACTGGTTCGGAGTTCAGTGGTTCACAGTTTCCAACTTCTATCACTTCGCAGGTCTTCATTTAGCATGGGCTTCACTTCTGACTGGTTGACCTCACAGGTCACGCATGGCTTCTCGTTAGAGCTTTAGGATATCCATCTCAAAACATATCACTAATGAACACTAAACAGTAACATAATTTAAGGTTTATGGGAATTTTATTTTAGTGTAGTATCTATTCTTATTCATTTACTTAACCTACTTAATCTAGCACTTCAAGTCAATGGGAGTTCACTGTTCATGGGATGGTTTTGCTTGGTTTTACTCTTCTTCGAGCTGCTTGTTCGTCTACTGCATCATCTTCGAATATTTTTGGTGCAAAAGTAACTGGTCGTTTATCAAAACCATTGTCAACATCACCTTTTCTAACCCATGATACTTTGAAGTTGCGTATTATTCGTTCTGGTTTGGACTTGCTCGTGCATCTTTTCAAAGTGAGTTTCCTAGTTATTTGGTCGTTGAAATACCTGTTGTACACGTAAATTAATATGTTTATGTCTGAGTTAACTGTCTTTATTAACTATATCCTGAACAGAGTGGTCGAATAGCCCATCACTTTATAAGTGACTCATTATAATCGATTTGATACTGTACCAGACCCAGTGAGATTGAAATTATGCAACTGAGCTGCTAGTCCACTGACTGTGTATATTCCACTCAGTACTATCCAGACTCGATAATGTTAACTTTTATGTAAATTCATTTTAATGCAGTAGTGTTACGGAGGTGAAATAGTTGTAATCTGATATTCAACTAACAATTAGTCAGTTCGACAGACAGATGTAATCAACGTAGAACCTCGTATGGAAGTGTATAAGTTCAAATTGCCATACATGGTGATTAGTAGGTTTCTTGGAGCTCCTTATGAACAGTCTCATCCTGTCAAAGATTACTGTTTCACGTATTGAAACATTTTTTCATCTCCTGTTTCCCACTGGGATTTTGAGAATTCTTGTATAGTAAGTGTAATTTTAGATATTCTGTCTGTGTTTTAATCTAATTTAATCACATCCTTTTTTGTCATGTAACAAAAAGGTGAGGGAAGAAATTTTTACTTTCTATTGCCTATTTATTTTTTAAGTGAATTTCAAAATATTACAATTCACTTGATGGCTAGCAGTTGGCTCCAGGACGCTCGTTTCGTTCAATTTGAGACTCGTCAGCTGGATGTGTCTGCACCCAAATGATTGATGTTGTTCCAACTGATACACAAACCTCGTACCTATCACTTCAAAAGCTAAAGGGTTGTCTGCTAGGCAATAGGTATTTGGTGCCATTCTTAGTGGGAACAACTTCATTCGTTGGGGGGCCGATGCATCCAGCTGACGAGTCCCAAATTGGACGAAATGCATGTCTTGGATTCTACTGCTAGCCGCCAAGTAAACTATAATATAGTGAATATTCATGCAGTTTTGAGCCATCTGCCAACACAGGTCGAGCATTTTAAAGTAGTATAGCAACGGGAAATTACAAGTATCGATAAACAAGTATTTCAAACTACTTAACAGAGATTTATATGAAAGCGTTAAGCTTACGCAGTGTATATCCTAGCTGTACATGAAATATGTCGGTATTCGCTAGACTGGAATGAAATGCACTCAACAACTTTGTGCAGCATGCAATGAACCTCACCTATTGTGTGAGGGCTAATGATACTGTAGTGGGCGTCGCTGATAAGAATGGATATAGGTGGTATATATTGAGGGGACGGCAGAAATCATAGGCAATTACCAGCAATGGGTAGGGATTCTGTTAAGAGAAACACAGGATACAACGTAGGCGTATGAAGAGCAAATCAAGAGAGAAGCAGAGGAGGAAATAAAGGACATTTTGCAAATGATGATTTTAGTGCAAGGTGTACCATATGTAAAAACTACTGCACCACTTGTTGACAATAAACATTTCTTCCTTCGCCTTGATCTTCTCGTTACCTTTCAATACTACATGGCTGCCCAAACCTCAGTAGGCGGAGCTGGCTCGAATCTGTGACCCAGTGGTTGAAAGTCAACTGTCCAAACTAGTGATCTATCTTGTTTATTGCAATTTTTATTGTTCCAGTTCATGAGATCTGTTGAGATGATATGCTTGTTAAGTACCAAAAGGCCAATTGATTCATCGTTGCCACAGGAAGTTGTGTTGGCTTTCTCAACACCATGTTGGTAGACAATGGGTCGTTGTGTTCACTGTACATTAAAATCTTTGGATTCGACGCGCTTCCATAATATTATCAGGTGATTTGTGCCATACTGATTCACGATGTAGGTATGAACTGTAGGCCTAGTCACCTTCTGATCACAATTTGAACTTTTAGCTTGGGTTGTTCTTTAAAAATTATTTCTTTTTGGAGTACTTTTGTTTGTTGAATTAGGCATTATCTTTGATGTGGCACTTTTCTCGGAGAACAGGTCTATCTGCATGATTAATTAGATCTTACGTTTTTATGCCAGGGGTATCTCAAAACTTAGTGGATGCAACATAAGAGATTTTGTGAGATACGTTCTATGTTTGACAGTTCGTCTAGTTCATTGGAGCTCGAAGACTTCTTAACTTGATAGAAGAAAAGCTGTTTCTTTATCAAATACATTCTGAGAATCTGTGTAGGTTATTTTGTCAGTTGCAACTTTCAAAGTTTAGGAGGTTTGCGTTTAGGTGAATGTTGAACTTGGTGGTTATACTGTAGTATTATTCTATATTATATTTATTTATTTGATAAAGTAAACATAGATTTACTGTTAATGACTAGATGAAGTTTCAACGATAGTGTACTACGCATAATTTTATCACGACAGTCCTACAACTTTCACTATTGCGACAAGTTTATCAGTTATAGTTTATCTTGAATAATACTGTATTACTACATGGTATATGAAGTAACCAACCCTAGTATGTAAGCAAACGTTTATTCAACTAGGAGACTGGTTTGTCAAAGTTTGCATCTTAGTGATTTTCACTTCCTTTGTGTAAGAAATCATTTCATCTGGTACAATACATTTGTGCTGTAGAAAGTATGGGACCTACCTAACTTCTAAGTCGATTAACCGATGTAACCAGTAATAATTGCAATAAATCTTAACTAATATTTTTCACCTCAGCAATACTTTTCAGTCAATTAGTTAATTGTCTCTTTTTTAATGTTAATGGGACGTTGAATCACTTCTTTTCCTACATTTGTTACATGAATAAATATCTAGCATTGCCATTGTTCGCGAGATGAAATCATTACAATGACAGCGAATCTCATATGGAGTGAGTCGAACGCATCAATAGCCTTATATGCTTTAGGTAAGTTTTATGATATCATTTCCTCAGCTAAATCTTTCTTAATTTCTGCCATCTGATTATGTGGCTAATTTTTATTGTGAATTGGCGCAAGAAGTAAGAAAAAACTGCTCAACTGTATTACTATAGCTTGGATTCTCTTAGCAGCATCAGTCTACAACGTCAGATAAAATCTCAGATCTTTTAGGGAGTTAATTCCAGCTGAGTCACTAAAACGAAACTGTTATAACTCTGTCTGATTGTAATTGGCGTAGGCATGTGATTTTACCGATTCAGTCTTAACGCTGACCTTACATGTGATTGGTCTTGCGTATATTTGCCCAGTCTCGTACACTCAACCCACCCACATGATGTGTTACGCAACTTGACCCTTCCAAATACTGACAACAAAACACAAATTCTGGTGCTTATTGTCCGTATATTTTAGGCTATCTGATTCATCTGTATACACAACCACATTAACCTGAGCCCAATGCATTATAAATTAATAGGATGAAAAAATCAATTTCAGGTACAAAATATGGAATAATGCAGAAGAATGGATTTTTACTCAGATACTCTCATTATTTTTCTGAACTATCAATCATAAATAAATGGATGAGGTATCAATCGAAGACTGTTAAACCGAATTATACAATATAAAGTTGCCAATTAAGTTATAAGTAAGATGAGTTTTAAAATGAATAAAACAATACGATCATTGATACTTCAATCAATATCAACATAGGACCAGGCATTACTGCATAACGGCCCGAGTTGCCACAGCTCATATCAGTACATCAAGTAGAAAGGTAGTGAAGTGAAGGATGAAGATAAGAGAATGCAATCAAAAGAAATATTAAGTACCAGAAGAAAGAAAGGAAGAATGACAAAATGGCGAGAATCGGCATAATGTTAAGATGAGGATAATGTGTGTACACATCTGCTCCACTGACATCGGTTCTGAGCCATATCCCCTAGAGTCTCCAATCACTGGTTCCTCTTGTCCGACAGACCCCAACCAGCTAGTCTGTATCACCCCACATGGCTCAAACCAACAGTCAGAGACTTCATGCATTGATGTCAGGTTTTAGTCTGGCCACCTCTGGCCATTTTCCAGCCTGAACCTACTTCGGCCGACGTTGTATGACGAGGCAATCGGTGACTAGGCGTACGTAGTACGTGTCCATCTTATCTGAGATTCACGTTTTTCAACTGCTATAAAAGATACACTGTAATAGTTTTCACTGATATCTCAAACGATTTCAGTCTCTGACGAAAATGTTTAAATCTGTAGACTTCACCGTATCAACAATGTAAAATGGGTGTGTTTCAGTTTACATTTCCCTTAATGTTCTTGGATCTCTAGATTCGGTTGGTTGACTGTCATAAAAATACCGAAATAATAAGTCCTAGGAACTGTGTACAAGTTTGTGTACTAAGCTATAACCTACTCCTGAAAGCTAACGACTACTAATACAATTAGATGGAATGCGTTCGAAATTCGTCATAGCATATCTAAAAGCTGAGTATCTACAGCTGTATACGGAAGCTTCATAGTTTATAATCAAGATATTGCAGACAGACATTGCTAATTTCTGCGATATTACTCACTATGGTTATTTATTGAAGCATTCATCTTTAAAAGAACTAAATAATAATTCTGAGGTAGTATTCATCATAGACGGACATAAATTGGAGAATCATTTAGAACCTGGGAGCTTTGAACAGATGTTTCGTCGTTGTATTGGGACTCAGCATAATGCATCTACGAACCGGGTTAGGGATCAAAGTCAGGACCTCCAGGTTACACAACGAACGCGTTAACCATTTAGTCACTTGATCGGAGTTCAATGGTCCTCAGTTTTCTACTTCCGTCAATTTGTGATGTAGCGCGAATTTCATCGCAGGTTTTCATTTGGCATCCACTTTTTTTTCTTGACTCGATCCATAGCCGAGTTATGGGTACGTACTGCTTAGGAGTTCCGTAATCAGACGAAACAGCTGTTTAGTGTTTTCAGGTTTTCAATGGTTCCCTAACTGATGTTAGTCCATGATGAATACTACCTCAAAATTAAGATCCCCATTAACTTCAAAATAAATGATAAGTTTGTCTTGCACTCACCCACCCACTCTTCCTAGCCACTATGAAATTTAGATTGATTTTATTGTTGAGTGTGATTGACCATCCAGTATTATTTTTACGTATTAAAAGGTTTCAGATGGACAGACAAACCAAAGTAGAACCTGGCACAAAAATGTATCACTTCAGGTAAAGACACTCCACAGTGCCATGTAAAAAGAAGTGAATAGAAAAAGATTGATATTCAAGTTAAACCGAGGTGAATGAGGGAAGAGAGAATAAATCAGTAAAAGTTGAACGAAATATTCAATACTTTGACGGATTTTGAGCAATGTTACCAAGAGTCTCTCACCATTGATTACTGTTATCTGAAGGAACCCAACGAGGCAGTCTACGGAACAGAGCAACAGTCACAGACTGGTGTCACGTCTTGGTTTGGTCACCCTTAGCTTTCTTCACTCTAGTCCTATTTCACATAACACTGCATATTGAGGTAGATTCTTCCTCGGGATACGCAACACATGTTCAAACTATATCAGGCGATGAAGGTTCACAACGTCATCGACTTGATTTCCTGCCTTGCCTAGCAAGTACCCTACGCCTAACTTAGACATTGCTCACACTGCTGATCCGACTTCTCAGGTAAGTGTAGCGGTCAACGCGCTCAACCACTTCTCACCCTATTCTTAAACAGGGCATCACTGAAGACCAGTCCTTGAGTAACAGTTTCCTTTTGGGTGGCATCCCGAGCATCCTAAAATTGCCACTCAAGACATCCATAAGACTGCATCTTGTCAGCATCGTCGCCTAACAGGACTGTGTTGTATGTGTGCTCCAGGTATATCGAGGATTCTCCTGTGATAAGATCACCTCGTGAATTCATACGATGAGAGAGACAGACCTGCCTAAGTCTGTCTAGGATAAAGTTGAATAAGAGTGGGATGTGTGGACGTCCTTGACGGACACCATTCGACGTACACAACTCACCATAGACTCTAACATGCCCACGCGTTTTCGAGCTTAGAACCTTCCGCAGAGTGATGTACTTACTCTATATTTGTTTCAATGAGAAGTGCTGCCGTAAGATTTCTCGGTCGACGGAGTTGATCGCTGCCCTCATGTCAAGAAATACAGCTAGTGTTGGGCACCGACACCTGGTTGACCCACCCACTGCCAGGCTTGAGACCTGCTTGTTTCTCTCAGGTTTGCTGTGTCAGAGGTCCATTTAGACGTCTTTCGATTATCGAACCTAAGATCCTAGATAGTGTTCGTTATGTTGATTCCCCTGTGGGCATCACAAGAAGACTTCTCACATTTTTAAAGACTGGAACAAGCAGGATAAAAATCCTCTACCTCCGGTACTGATCCATCTGTTCCTGCTCCTCTTCACGTTTTAGATTACTTACGGCTTCTTTAACTTCTGTAAGTGTTGGGGGTCCTATCTCGATGTTTCATTTTAATTCAACTGGATATCCGGTGACTGAGTAGTAGTTGGCTGTCAGTTGAGCTATTCCGCGAAGTATTCAGCCTATCATTTCTGTCGTCCTCCTTGTGAGTGAACCGCCGACCCATCCTTCTAAGCTATGGTCTCAACAGCCACAAACGTTTTCGCCTCATTTTCCTTGGTTGGTGTAAGTAACTGTCTACTGGTACCTATCAATGCTGCCTTTTCCATCTTTTTAGCCTTTCATTGCCCAACACTTTTGGTCGACATTGCCTACAAGTTGTCAGTTTACGTTTGAGTTGCTCCCACTCATTATTGTGCTATTAGCCTTCGGGGGTCCGTTCACATTCGACCAATAATTTGCAAAGAGCTGCTGATACTCACTGGCCCTTTTTAATCGCTTTAGGGCTCAATGTCATATCAACACCTGCCAGATCGCGAGAGCTAGCTATCGAATCTCTTGAGACGTGAAGGGTGGATTTTGCCGATTCAACACATTGACCGGGTGGGGTTAAGCGAAATAACATCACTTTAGTCCGATATGTGTATCTGAAAAACAGCACAGTTGCATGCCCCGAGGTTAGCGAAGCTTGTTGACCGATTTTCCCGATGGTGTGGATATTGAAAGCTCTAATGTGTAATTTGGAGTGCAGTTTCAGGAGAACAGGGTATCCGTTTCTTGAGCTTGAATAGTTTTCGTGAGTTACATTGTTTTAAGAAAGTAAATATGAGGTAGGAATGTTGATTGGGGGTCGTGGATAAAAATTAGAAGTTAAGGATGTGGAAGGGGGATAATGATCTGAGAGAACTTCGGTGCCGATAACGCTATGAGGAAGACTTACACTTCCCGACTGCCCACACCTTGGAAGGTTAGTTCTTCTTAAAGTGCCTGGAAAAGAAGGATTGTTGCGTAACCACAGAGCGCAAGGGATATCTACTTGTGGCAGTTTACCCGGGGCCTATTTGCGAGTTTAAGATCCTGATTTGTTGCTTTTGAATCTGATTATGAACCAATGTCACCGGCCATGTTGCTGGGTAGTGTGCTATTTTCATACCCGACCTATGCAACCTTCCCTCCCTGTGGGAAAGGCAGTGTTGGCGTGGTACTACTGGTCATTCATATGAAACACTCTACTGATTTTACGCCCTTATCAAGTTGGCAGTACGACTTCGCCCTGCTACCCCTATCATAGCGTTGCAATATACACAATAACGGTAATTACTTTTTATCTTACTAATATCCAGCTGACCTTTCTGTTATGGCAGAACCTCGAGGAAACAAACGTCCACCAGCATAGTTTGTTGAGTTATTGTGATATGCAAACCCGACCACCACGTCAAGGTAGCAACTATCGGTTGGGACGAAATCGGTCACAGTAGTAGAAGGATGTACATTCTTTTTTCATCTTCAAAATCTTGGATAATCCGCTCAGCTTTCATCCATATATTTTCTCTTCCCTCATACATATTGCCTTAATATCACTTTTTTTCTATCCATTTCTGTTTTGAATGCTGCTGTGAAGTGTGGCAACTTCAGCCGATACAGTTCTGTGTCAGATTCTACTTTGGTTTTTCTATGCCTTTTTTCTGAACTGGATATAGTATAATTCCCTGTTTCCTTTTGAAACTGAGTGGAATATTTGTTTCAAAGGTTATGTTACATGAAAAAGAAGCGGTCATATCTTCGCATTTTTGGACTAACGTGATTTCTGTACAACTTTGAGAAGATGAGTTATTTGCGATAAAAATCCCATTTAGTTATGGTACACCATCTAGTGACGTGCTATTTAAGCCCCTATGTTCCACTAGGAGCCCAAAGGACAAATAATAACAATAATAATAAACACCATCTGGTTGAGAGGACGCAAATTATCCTGTTGACCAACGCCTATTCAATACGAATCTTCTTTACAATTCATTTTTCAGATCTTTTAAGTGATCTAGTAGCAATATGTCCATTAGAAGTTGCCGTTCGAGCTAACTGTTTGGATCCAATTATCGACTCTATTGGTTTATTACCTTTGAGTATTTCAACCGCTTTAGTGCATGCCTTATTACCGTTAATACGTGCTGGAAGTTTATTGGAATTGGAAAATATCTCAGAAAATGACAAAAGTGATAGTAATCCATTCACTCAAGTCCGTATGAGACTGATAACCAATCTGTGCAAAGCAGCAAATTCACCCAGGATACCTAGTCGATGTACAGCTGTATCCTGTTTCACGCTTTTACTAAAACATTTAAAGGTCAGTTTGTGCATTGATTTCATGAAATTATTATTAACCACTGCGGTCGAATAAAGTTTATTTTATCGGTATAAGGTGTCTGACTGATCACCTGATATCTATAATTAAGTGGACAGTCGAATAAAAGCAGCTTTTACCTCTTGACTTTAGTACTATCACAGGTAGGTGTATGAATATTTAAAAGACAATTCAGTGACGAATCATTTTCAAAAGCTGTACATCGTAATCATAGTTACAACAAGATGTATATCCATCAGGAGCTAGTGAGTCAATAGTAGGTCATCAAAAACGGTCAATGAAGTCACAAGGTGATAACTACATTTCTAGGTAATCTACTGAACTAATTGAGTCGATTTTTTCGTCTTTGTAGTCTGCGTTGATTCGAATCTGGAAGTTTTATGAGGAAAGAAAAAGAAGAGCCTACTGTGATGGTAAATTTAGTGATCCTGACTGTTAATCTCTCTCATAATCTATATGAAATAGGTCTATGAAGTAGCTAGCCAACTCAGAAATCAACACAACCAAGATCATTGATCTGAACTGCAAGTATCATCCATCATTTCAGTGTAGTGCTTGGTGGGTAGTTTGATTGTGGAATTCACTTATTGCTAGGGAACTACTTACCTCAGAGTGTTATGGCGGCTCTGATGAGAGACAGACAAACTATTCGTTAAGACAGTGACTGGTGGCTATTGGATTCATCGAATATTCTTCCACAGTATTATTATCATTATACTTACTCCTATTTTCTTATTCTACTTAGGTTTCAGTATCAACATTTCGATCAGCATCACAGTATTCTTCATCGTCAAGTTCACTTTCTCAGCCATTTGTTTATTCACAATCTCAAGCTACCCAGAGAAATCCTTTGGTACTGTTTAGTCAATTACAATCAACACAAGTAATTATCCATCTTTTGTTTATATTTTGAATTTTTGGTAGTTCGTCTTTGTCTCTTTGTGTGTGTCCTATCAAACGAAGTAAGTGATACCACTCATACACGCGGTACCAGTAGGGTTTGGTTGTTACATAGGTGCGAGTGATTTTGTTTAAATGGTGTCAAATTCATCAGTGAAGAGATTAATTTAGTCTGGCTTTAACGAACTGGCAGATCTTGAAATTGGTTGAATAACTTACAGTTTAGTGTGTTAATAACCACTCAGTTTGCATCATTATTACTCAGCTTTCTGGGTTTTTTTCGATGCACGCAACCAAACATGGACTGTCCAGCTACACCTAATAAACGGGAACTTGTATGAACTTGTATGAGGTAGTATACTGACATATAGATCATTTTGATCTGATCGACGAGGCTTACAAGCCACTGACATGAATAGTGTCTATCTGTATTTTGTGGTAGCATATTTCGTTACTAAATAAGAGTTGTTTTCGAAATTATAAAGCACTGTCTTTACTGTATTGTTTCTTGCGGAAATTACGTTAATCATTTCACTTATGTGTTCGAAATAATCACTTATTTGTCAAGAATATCTTCACAAAGTATTATTATTATTATTAGTCCCTTGGGTTCCTAATGGAACATAGGGCTTCAAGTAGCACGTCTCCATTCCACTCTTTTCTCTGAAATCTTTTGAACCTGGTTCCCCGACAGCCCAGAAGCTCTCATTTCCTCCTCGCACGATCTCCTCCATGTCATTCTCGGCACCAACGTCCAACTCGTCGCTTCCTATCTGGGTTCCACTTGACGTACTGACCTAGCACGTGATGTCCCCAGTCGGCCTTCTCAGTGCATGTCCAATCCATCTCCACTCCCTTCTCCTGCATATTTGTTAAGCGATAGCTTCTTGGTTGGTTCGTTGCAGGCCAGAGTTCCTTTCTGCTTATTTTTATTATTCTGGCCATCTGATCTTCAGTATCGAGCGTAGGCAGTTGTTGATAAATGTCTGTAGTTTGTCGGAAATCCCTTTCGTAACGTGCCAAGTCTCTGAGCCATACAGAAGCACTGACTTGACGTTGGTGTTGAAAATACGGATCTTGTTCTTGATGATGAGTGCAGAAAATCTCCACACTAGTTTCAGGCTAATGAACAGCTGTCTTGCTTTTCCGATTCTGACTTTGACATCCTCGTCTTTGCCTGTGGCTTCTGTAGTTGAAACAGTGCTGCCTAGATAGGTGAAGGAGGTTACTTCCTTCAAGTTTCTTCCGTTGATGGTGATTGGAGTTTGTTGTTGTTGTTGTTGGTGTGTTATCTTCATCACCCCTGTCTTCTCTATATTCACTTGAAGTCCCGTCTTCGCTGCGAAATATAAAAAAGTAATAAAATTATTCCTTCACAAAGTATGAGAATCACAAATCATGCATTATTTCATGATCAGTTGTGAGACGTTAATTGTATGACATCAAATCCAGACCCCCTGAAGTATTTAGATTTTTGTTCTAAACAACATCAAAAGTGTAATTGAGTATGAATTCCCTTCCAAGAAATTCGGAACCAAAGCCATTCTCCAACAGCTAACCAAATGCCTGAGTAAGACATAGAATTCAAAATTACAGGATTTTTTCTGAAATATATTTCTGTAATAATAAGCAACGGTGACCAATCGATTGTGAACATCAAGTCGTAAAGTATCTGTGAGTTTATCGCTATCATAACACTATACAAAGAGTGCGTCAACAGTACAACAGTAGTGTCGTGTCCAGGACAAACCGAAAGGGAAACTGAAAGACTCGGGTATCCCACATTGAGGTAAAGACATAAGATAAATATCGGGAGGCAACAAGCTGAATTCAAACACCGTCATGAATGGGGAAGTGTACTAATATGTAGGAGGGTTAAATGATGAGGAAGATGCGATTGAGCGGGAAGAACAGTCAGATGGTGAATGAAGTAACATTATGGGAAAACATGAATTATGTTAGTCAATAATGCTGAGTAGTAGTATAAAAGTTGAGTTATAAAAAGGGTGTTTAGGTGTAGCATCACACAGGGTAAGTGAGAACAAATGGTTAATTTCCTCAGTCTATTAGTTTTGGGATCTAGTTTTCATGCGATAAATCCATTACTATGAGTTGGTTTCACATACTATATGGGTTGGGTAGGCATGCAGTGGTTATATGACTTGCGTTCATTTAGGAGCTGTGACTCATATCGTGGTACCTGTATTTGGATGTTATTGTCAATGTGTATAATTGTTATAATGGAATTCTCTTCTTAATAAGCTACATGTTCTAGGTTATCTGTTTCTGATTGGCACTTTTTACCCAAACCATTATCATCCTTATTGTGAATCTCTAGAAATATGAACCATGCTACTTGATAATACCAAGTAGTATAAAAGTTGAAATATAAAAAGGTATACAAGGGTCAGGGAGTACAATTTGGAAAGCACTAAACACTGACAATGTTTTATTCCCCTGATATGTTTTTGAAACAGCGCATCACTTTGAGTGAGTTGACTCAAGAAGGACTATAAAAGACTAGGATAAGCAAGAAAACTAGGAGGGGAGGGAAAAATATTGGCGAAGTTTTGAAGTGTCTGGAATTCTACAGAATGAATCAATGTGCTAACGGTTAGATATCCCATTAATTAGTGCGGTACGTGGATTTGGTCTTTCTTGTCTAACCTTGTCCAACTTCGTCCATCCTTGGATATTAGAGTAGATGGCTAATGGTTTTGTCTGTTGGATGTCCTAGCCACACCATTGTTTAGTGGCTTACAATTTATAGATTATCTTGCCTTCCTTATTGAAAATAATGATAAGCTTAGAACTCTATCCCTATCCTGAAAATCACATACTTTCTAGCTTCACCACGCTCGTGTGATGCCACAAAAGAAATAAGTGATTAATGTGAAGGGCGTATGGTTTAAGTCTACCATCTTACTGTTTAAATAGATTAAAGGCCTTGAAAATTTAGTTCACAAGGCTGATAATTGTAACAGTTAGTAATCCTCTTGACTGTAAATTTGATATTATCTGTCCAGCGTAGTGTAAATTGAGGATTATACTTTCGTCATTCGTGAATTCATGACTAATTTTCTTCCTGTATTTATTTACATAGTTAGGCTAGGGATTGAGTCAACTATTCTGAATTTTTCTTCCCTTCTCTTAGATCGCTCAACAAGCTGTCTTCTTACCGTGTGATATTGTACAAAATGAAGTGTTATGCACCGAAATTATCAGCATACTTCATCGTATTATATTTTTTGCATTTTTTCGATCACAATCAGGCAGTCTACTGACAGATCCAGAAAATGTAGTCAAATCCAATATATACTGGGTAAGTTTTCAGTGTCTACAGCTTGATGTATGATCAGAGTTTGAATGCATACTCATTTGTAATTTAACTACAGGCGGTTGATAGTATTCTACCTTTCATATGGTGTGTTGAGGTGCAGTCTAAGTGCATACCAAACATTGTAAGGATTTCACCCGAAATCATATGATTTTCTAGGTTGTAGAACAAGCCTGGGTAAAGTACTGATATATATATATATATATATATATATATATATATATATATATATATATATATATATATATATTAAGAAGAGCTATCAAGACAAATTTCATTGGCAACATTTATAGTTACCATCATGACAGACTTTCCACTGCATTGTATCCAGGTTATGGTTCATTTTACTCTACCTCTGGGAGTTTGATTCTCCACTCCTCCAACTCTTTTGATATGGTTTACATTTCAGAGATAGATATTTTCACGACTTTTGTTCGATACTTATGATTTCTTGTTGCTGTGCGGCAAAAACAATAACAACTAATATCCGTTGTACAGGAGGTGGCTTTCGTGCCTTAGAGGCCTAATAGGTAACATTTTGGGGTTTGATACGATGGTTACTGGGTCGTCTCAGTGGTTACATTCACCTGACGAGTCTCGACTAGGACGAAATGCACGTTTCGGATTTCACTACCAGTTACCAAGATAAGTATCTGCACTACTAGTTATCTGAAATGTTGTACCCAAACTGAGTAGCAGGTCTCAGTCATTGCTGTAGAGCGCGATTCTCCACTGGATTCGTTATGTAATATAACATGCAGTAGTACATTGTTATTCATTGAAGTATCATGAATATATCTTGTTTTTCTGAGTACATGAATTGGTAACTACTCCGTAAGTTGTTCACAGCCAGACGACGCTGTATCAATCCATTAAGTGTCCGACTGTTGGTCGGAGTCGTGTAGAGAAATGTAATCTTCCCGGTTAAGGTCCGCATGATAACCGAAATCGGTTTTTGGAAACTCCAGGTAATATGACTGAGGACCAATGTCAGTGGTACAGATGCATCCAAACATCACCTTCATCATTGTTGGCGTATCACATTTCTCACTTCTCTTAAAAAGCTATTTCGTTTTGTTGTTCTTACTATGTTCAAATTTTAAAGAAAAAAAAAATCAGATTTAGGAAATTACCACATATCATCTTCACACCTTCCATTTCTTTTACCTTTTAGAGTCTTTAGTGGTTAGAGAATTTTTACCGTTTCACTTCATTGATTGTTTACTCTTTCAATAGGGAGTTTTCCATGTACAAACGATTGCACTATGGCTCATATCATACGGTCTTTTCAATTGTTCAATAAGATGTGGAAATAGTTTTATAAGTTTTAATGCATGTACATTCATAACACATTTAATTAACTATTGACTTGACTTTAAGAAATATAACCTTCATAGACTTTAGCTTTTGATGAATGTCTAGTCAATGTAAAGTTGATTGCTTAGTTGTTTAACATTTTTCATTGTAGAGAAATGGAAACTGTGTACTTTCTATTGGGTGTTTTCTATTTTTCCTTAAGTGGAATAAAGTAGTAACTAAATTTCATGGAATAAAGGGAATATTTAATTTCACAGCTTCATTAATGGTTTTAGTGGAGTTAATACGTAAATTTTTCTTCGTAGACGAATTTGAAAATCCTTCAGGATGAGAAGACACTGTCTTTCAGTATGTATTGTATCAGTATTTTACATTCAGTATCTCATGGTTGATGTAGGCTTTTGTAGAACTTTGACAAATTGAATAAATGTTGATTTTGGATATTCAGATCATTGATGACAGTTTTAATTCAGCTTTTTGTTGTTACTTAGATAGTTTATTCAACATTCAAATTTATTTCTTTTCTTCAGGGTCTATGCGAAGTTGTAACACGTAATCGTGGTCTGTGTGAAGCTGTCCTGAATTTATACCTACGTCTTCTCATTGGTTGTTTAGCCCCAAATTTTCTCAAAACTCTTAAACGATCTGGTACTCAGAATTCGCTTACTTTACTCACACCAATAAATCCATTACACACGAATTTCATTCCTACTCCACCATTTCTATTGAACAAGTTAATTGAGTCAAATATCACAGATGGAGAAATTAAACGTAGTGAACATCCGGTAAGAAGGAGAATTGTATATTTAATTGATTTCTATCATTGACTTCTGTTTTGAGAATGTTAACTTTGAATAACTCTTAGTAGTATAGTGCAAAGTATTTTACTCTTGAAAAGTTTAACTATTGGGCTGGTTCTAAAGCGTTTAAATCGGTACAGAAGTGAGTTGTTTTTAGCTCTCCTCAGTTCATAAAGTTTCAGAAGTCAGATAACAACAGAAGACGCATCCGAAGAAGGTGTGACTTAATAGAGAGGGAGTAAGAATGATAAAGATAGCAATAATATTCACTTTATACCAAGCAATATGTATGATACATCATAAAGATCAACATGGGACCAGGGATTACTGAGTAACGATCCTAATTGTCACATCTCATATCACCACATCAAGTAACAAGGCAATAAAAAGAAAGATGAATAAAGAAAGAAAAATCAGTCAGAAGGAGTAGAAAGTACTAAAAGAAAGGAAGGAGAAATGAGAAAATGATGAGGTTAAGTATAGTGGCTAAGATGTATGTATGTCTGCGCCACTGACATTGGCCCTGAGCCATACCATTTAGAGTCTCCAATCCTTGGTTTCTCTTGTCTCACGGACCCCAACTGGCTAGTCTGCATCACAATACATGTCTCAAACGAACAGTCGTGGAATGTTTTATTATGGCTATTTTTCACCTTTTTCCAGCCTGAATCTCAAACCACAGGTCAATGACTGTGTCATTTACTTGATTCCTGTAGTTTGACCATCATAAGGTTTTCTCTCTCTACACTTTTTCTAAACAGTATCTCGCCAGATAAACTTGTAAAGGGTATAAAACAGTATGACAGTTGTATTTCATTTGGGGTTGAGAATATTTAGTTGTTGATATTTCGTAGCCTCATCACAACTTATCCCTTTACTTCTGAATAAATCAGATACCTATAAAGTTATCTGGATTATTATTGAAGCATGTTTGATTGATTATTAAAGCTCGATGAACAGCAGTCAGCTGTCCTTTTCATTTTGAGCTACTGAAATCATCTATTACCAAAGAAAGTATTTCGATGAGTTGCCTAGTACGAAATATTAATTATAATTATATCATATTAATATTACAAACTGAATCGTTACTCTGTAATGTCAGATTGATTGTATTTTCCTCCTCCATTACTGTGTACCAGCATATTATGCTGGTAGCTAATAGGCAAAACAACCTTTTACTTTCGGAATCATGTATTTACTTGACACTGAGTTGTAGTAACTCATTTCGATTATTTCTTTGTGACAGAGACAAGTAAGAATGTTCCGGTAATGATTACCTTTTAGCTTGCAGACGTTTTGTGAATCAGTTGATTTCATAAGAATTTTCACCATGGACTGATATCAAGCGAAGAAAACCTGTATAGGAGAGTTTGCAATTAGGACCACATTTGGGATCAAACCCAGGAACGTCAGGTTTCACGGCAAGTAGGTTGCCACTTAACTACTTGGTCGGAACCCAAGGGCTAATGTTTTGCAACTTCTGAGCAGTGGGCACTTGCGACTTCATGGATCAAACCCAGAAAGCAAAATATCAACTGGAAAATGAATTAGGACAGTTCGTACGGCAAGCTGACATCCTATCATTGAAGCACCGATGCTCGAAGTGGAATGGGTCAGCTAGGTTATGAATGGTTCTCTGGCTCACATCGATGGGTGATAAAAATTCGTTTGGTATGACTGTTTTTATCTAATGTGCCATGAGAGTACTGAGCTTTCAAATCTTCTAATCCTATAATTAACGCATAATTTTATTTTATCAAAACACAAATGTGGTACAGAAAGGGCACCAAGAAATGTGCCACACAAAATAATATAACACTATTTCGAAGACATAAAATGAAGGGAAGTGGATAAAAATAAAAGACACTAAGAATACAATGATCAGAAGAACAGTCCAGTAAGATACATTCGCAACGAACATTCATTATCTTTCAGCAGTAGAAGATCGGAGGAAATTACAGTACGATCACCACTGGTGATGATTCTGAGGTATATCTGATAGCGTCTCAGGCCACTGAGTCGCATCATTTTTTGAACCCCACCCGGCGAGTCCTGATGAACCTATCTCACTTATTCTCAAACTTGCACTTTATATTTCCAAAAGATTCTACATCTTTCCATTCTCTCCATGTTAGAGGAATATGTCGTTTGTTTACTAGGGAATCTGTTGGAGGAGACGTCGAAATTCAACTACTTGTAGACACTTTTCTACTTTATGCAATCTTATTATCAGTTCGATGGAAAATTGTAGAGGATTCTATTTAAAAATGTTAAGTTATCAGTATATTGGATTAGAATGTCGGTCTTCTTTTTGTCCAACCTTTTCAAGGATATTTTAATATGGTGTCTGCAACTTATATTAACTCTGCCGATCTTCAATCCTTTCTGGAGGCGATTACGTTTACAAGGGACTTCAAATAGTGCTAGTGAGTCTTCAGAGATCTCTTCATCTTCTTCAGCTGGGATAAGTCAGTTTACTCAATCTACATTGGATAATTCAATACAATGTGGTCGTTTAGTTACTTATTCTTTGTTTTCAAAAGCAGTGAATTTATTGATTTCGATATCTAATTCACTTCGTCTCTTGCCAAAAGAAGATTTTGGATTGGTAATTGTTTTGTTTACTTATAACTGTCAGATTTTATTCATGTCTACTGGGTCTGTTGTTCACTTTTTAAGTTATATAATTCTCTATATGCCTTTATGAGAGTTCAAGAAGTTGGTAGTGACGATGTTGCTAAGCTTGACGATGAAGCATCTACGACCAAAGAATTAAGCTCAAAGAACACCAAACCATTATCATCCTCAACCTAGGCTAAAAATCTTTATTTTCTTAAGTATCTTTTTTTGATTTGTAACTGTGGTTTCAACTGTTAATAATCCATGTCAGTCGAACAACTCTGTAAAATCAGTTTTCGTGATTGTTTTGGTAGTTATGGCTACTGGGTAGCGACTGAATCTAGGATGTGGGTTTTGTTCTATTTGAGATGTACTTGTTTTGTAGTGGGAAGAACATTACTCACTCAGTTGTAGATACATGCAGGTGACGAGTATATGCACATATTGGCTTAAAATAAAGAAAGAGGGGCATGGATAGTAATCAAAAGATGCCAAGATATCAAAGTAAGCATGGCAACTATTGAAAGTTGAATAGTAGGTTGGAGATACTGAAATGTTAAGGCGAAACAAATAGGGTAAATGCACCTGTGTCATTGTAATCAACATTAGGCCTTCATTTCAGGTTTCTAATATCTCAAAAATCAAAAAAGGATAGCATATCCTTCATTAAACCGTTCAATGACTTCATTTAATAATGATATTTACTTGTGTGATGAAAAGAAGAAACCTACTAAGTAATCCTATGCATGTTTATGCATTAGGCAATGAACCACATCTACTGTATAAAGTGTAATGTGATAATACCTGGCTACCCTAACCTCGGTAGGTGAGGCGGGTCTCGGACCCGTGCGTGACCTACCAGTTGAAGTCGGCTCCCCTTAAACCGATGAACCACAAATCCACTTTATGTGTAACTGTCGTTAGGCTTTTTCTAAAATAATCCTAATTCACTCACTGATGATAAACCTGTAGGATGAAACACCCTGGAGAAATAGTTATATGACTACGCAAATAAGTGTACAATGAAATTCGCTTTCGATTTCTTATGTTTGTAAAGTACTATTTTTTTTTAGGGGAATATTACTAGTCATGTCATTCGTTAGTTTTTTGGTAGTGTCAATGTTTAGTGATGTTGTGGATGCTATACCCTCCATTTAATTTCTCTAGACATGAGTGTAATTAAAGATAGCTCATAATACTCAGTAGCATAATAGAAAAGATGTAGGACTTCATCATTTCTAATTCTTCACGTTATTTGTACTAGGTTTATAGATCCAGTTATAATGATTATATATAAGAAAAGAATTTTTATTCTTTTCATTCGTTTCTCAAGTAGATTAACGCTTAAATAATCATTTCAGACTACAGAAACTGATTTCGGTGCAACATCGGGTGGAAAATTAAATCGTGATCGTGTTCAACTACTCATCAATATTTATGATGCATGTTTAGAGTTTGAGTTAAAAGATCCATTGGCTAGTGATCTGTTGCATGCTGGGAATTTTCAATCGCAATTTCCTAATCAAACGTGAGTTATTTCACTCTTTGAAAACTGAATTTGTGTATGTGAGCACTTATATCGTATGTTTGATGAACAGATTCACTTAGCATATTAGATATTAGTTATCGAATGTATTACAGAAGAGTAAACATTAGCATTCTACCGTCTTCACCTCACATTCTCTTGTCTCATAAAACTTGCCATCTTGTATATAAGCCTAGTTCCATATAACTGGAAAATGTAAGTGATATAACGTGAATTTGATGATGGACAATAACCTCCAGATCACATTCTTGATGTTCCTTCGACTGATACTAGACGATGATTGGAGGTGAAATGAAAATCTGTGTCGTGACAGGACTCGAACCGACCACCTCTGCACTAGTTACGTGACGCTCTACCACAACTGAGCTATGAAACCTACATAAAATCATCACCCAGTCTGCGAAACCATAGGTTAGATAGTGATGGTCATTCGATGATTCCTGGAAAAAAGAAGTGGTAAAGTGATGCCAAGTTTATTCTAAGGCAAACTATATTTGAAATGGAACGGTGTGTACGTAAATATTTACAATTTCTTTCGTTATTCCTAGGTCCTTCGATTACATCTTGCTAACCGTTCTGCGGGTGACACATATAATCATGTGGCTTTCTAAAGATTTTCAATTAAACCAAATTGAACCTCAAGGTTTTCAGGTTTTTTTTGGCTTCTTCAGGAAATCTGGACAAAAGTATGGTACATCACAACAGTAAGCTCCCTCTTTGGGTTTCATTCGACACTTCGAACGGTAGACTAGAGAGTTTAGGTTGTCTAACCTAAAGTGCATTGACATTCTCTTTTGTCAGAAACACGATCGTATCATTCCTAAGCATTTAGTTTATCGTTGTATTTTGTCTTTCAGTTTCTGTTTTGTACAAAAGCTCCTAATTTTAACATCTTTATTTACTTGTTAATTTCCTTTGATTCTGTTTTGAAGGTCTTCAGTTTAGATGAATACAATGATTCAGTATACCGTACGCTGTTGTAATTCATACAGTTGAGAAAATTTGTGAGAAATGATACTTTCTCATCTATATTCTTGATAATTGATGTTTAACTTCTGTGTAATAGTTTTGTTAACATTTATTTTCCAGTTCTCCTGAATCCACTTGGCTTCGTATTCGTCAATTGTTTGCTAAGCGACTAACTTTATTTAATTTGTTGAATGGAAAAATGTTGGGCATCCAGCATCCATACAAAATTATAATATCTTATCTCCAATTTGTCGTCAAGGTTCAGACTCTCGAAGTGGTCTGCTTATCATGAGTTTAATTTCAATTTCTCAAGCAAATTTAAAAAGTATCCTTATTGCAAGTATCAAATCGGATTCAGTGAATCCATTGGCTTGTCATATACTTCAAACTCTGTCAACACGATTGAATCAATTCACACATTGCACTGAAGGAGATATTCCATGCGCTTATCGTGATGCTCTAGTTGTTGAATTAGTTCCAGTTATGAAGTAAGTAGTTTAAGTTACTTTGCAAATAAATAGTATCTTTTAAGAAACTTGCAGATGCACTTCATATAGATAATCTATGAAAGTTAACTTCTTACTTTTAAAATTTTTATCAGAATTATTCATTTGCAAATGCAACAGGATCTTTTTTCTTTAGGTTTCGAACTCATATCCTTCAGTTAAATAGATAAAACTTCGCTTCACAACTTCATGCTGATCGTATTTGTAAAGGCGACATCAAATACATTGCAATAAGGTATCAACGTATATTGTATAGCCTATTAGTTTAGGTTGAGCAGACAGACAGATCCACGTATAACCTGGCAATAAGGTAAATCAGTTTAAGTTATCATACTTGAACGCAGCATGCGAAGAAGCAGTGGATGCAAAAAGAATAATTATGGAATTAAATAATACTGAAATTCAGGCTTAAGGTATTCAGAACAATACATTTCGTTGGCGCCTTCATTGAAGTGGTATTTATCGTCTGCATCATCATCATCATCAACATAGGACCAGACATTACTGCCTAACGGTCCCAGTTGCCAGAGCTCATATCAGTGCATTAAGTAAAAAAGGCAATGAAGTGGAAGGTGAAGATAAGAGAATGCGGTCAAAAGAAATATTAAGTACGAGAAGAAAGAAAAGAAGACTCACAAAGTGGTGAGAATCGGCATAATGTTAAGATGAAGATAATGTGTGTATACATCTGCACCACTGACATCGGTTCTCAGCCATGTGATCACCTAGAGTCTCCAATCACTGGTTCCTCTTGTCCGACAGACCCCAACCAGCTAGTCTGTATCACCCCACATGGCTTAAACCAACAGTCAGAGACTTCATACATTGGTGCCATGTTTTGGTCTGGCCACCTCTGGCCTTTTTCCTACCTGAACCTACTTCGGCCAACATTGTGTGAGGTGGCAGACGGCAACTAGGCATACATAATACGTGTCCTAACGATCTCAGTCGATGAAGGTTCACAACCTCATCAAGCGACTTACGTCTTCTGCCTAAAACTCTACACCTGATATCTGCGTTACTCACGTGGTGACACCATGGAATATGGTATATACTACGAAGGCAAAGGTGGTCAAACACCTGAAACCTTGTCATGTCTCCCACCTTCGATGAACATGTTTCACAGCCATAGAGTAGAACAGAGCGGACTGTTGTGTAGTACACAGACAATCGGATGTCAAGGCGGTGCCACAGGTGGCACAAGTTGACGAAAGCCAACTGAGCCTTTTGTATTTATGGAGAGATTTTATCGGCCAGTGAGCCACCGGGGCAGGGCTGATCCTACTTTTCAAGCAAGTGAAGTGGTCGGTACACGCAACCACTAAACTCTATTGTTAGTCGCGGCACCGTTAAAGACCGATCTTGGGGCAACATTTTGCATTTGGATGGTGAGAAACGCATCCCAAGCATTCTCAAATTGCCACTCAGTGTTCAAAAGACTCTGCATCTTGTCAGTATCTTCACCTAATAGAACTATGTGATTTTCATGCTCCAAGTTAACTCGTTACGCTTACAATTTCGTAATATGTATTTTGTTCCCTCCCTTGTTGATTAACACTGCATTAGCAACTAAAAATGATCTACGCTTTGCATTATCAATAACACAGAAGAACTGAAATCAACTGAAACTCAGTAAACACATTAAGGCGTACTTACTCTCATATAACTTTGATACTCGAAGGTGGCTTTTTATAGTTTGTGTGTTGAGCTATCAGCCATCGATCTAGATAGCATTCAGTAGTGAGCTCCAGTTGTAACATTTGTCCAGCTGCTTAATTTGTCATCAATGAGTGTATAAAACTTTATGTTTCTGTTGAGATACGTTTGGATGTGTCGATTTTCAGGTATAAATTTAAAGTAATGAAGATTTTTCTTATCAAGCAGTGAGTCCTGACTATTTCGTACTTTGAACCAACTATTGTTATTCAAACTGTCACCCTATTCAAGTTCGCCTAGACATATTTGATAGCTTTTCTGTGATGATTTAGGTCATTAACTATACAAACTTGTTCGGTAAACTTCGATTAACACTAAACAATTGAGATTTGTCAGCCATATTTTTGTTACCATGATATCACTAAAAGTTTTCATCACTTAAATGTGAGCGCTGTCGAAAACTGACTTACACATATCGGGTCATAAGTTCAAACCCTGTACTACTTAGTGTAATCCTAGTACCCTATGGTATGGTTTTCTATCACGTATTGTATTTGATTATCGGTATTATACAAACCTTCCTTTTCTTTCTAAGTGGCATTGTTATTTTGGTGTGATGATGACTACGTTTCTGTAAAGTTATGTATCCGTGATTGTGGTGGTTGGTTACACTTAGTGGATGTACACTAATGAACTGAGAAACTTCTGTAATCTTCCATGAAAAAAAATTTTCACTGAGTTTTCGATGAAATTTTCTTCTATATCCTAAGCAGATAATTTAAGGGGAATTTTTGAAAAATCAGGGCAATTCTATGTGTGCTGAAAAAATTTTAGTGACACGAGATCAGTACTAAGGAAGTTACGGGGGAAAGGATTCATTATTTCGAGAAAATTCTAGGGAATATTTGGGGAAGCATGTACTTAGGAGAAAATGAGGATTAATTGTAGCGTTTCCTCAGAATTTCCTGAAGAAGTTCGCATTGGTTCTTCAAAGTGGTATGTTTAGGCATGAATATTATAGCCTGTTTCATATTATAAGTTTTTTGTATGTTATTTTCTACTTTTAGGTGTGTAATTCGTTTTTATCACCATAAGATAATGTCAGATGAAGCTCCTACTACTGGTACTACTGTTGCTGCTACTGCTACTGCTACCTCTGAAGATGATGCATCGAATCAAGCAGATCAATCTAAACCTCGCTCCACAACGACTATATCAACTTCATCCACTGCCTTACAAGTTTTCAATATCGGACTGACACTAACGTTACACTATTTAGGGACTCAGAGATTGCATAAGATATGCAGAATTCTTTATCCTGTAACAAATAATCCCAATTACTCAGAACAATTGTTTAACTCTGACTCAGATATTGTATGTGATTCAGAGGGTGTGGAAGATGATGATGAGTCTTCTGAGTCTTTGGTTTCTGGGATTACACCAGCTCAAGGATTATCATCTCTTATCAGTCTAGTTAAGGTGAATGTTGTGTTATCTTTTGTAGCTATTATCAGTTTTTTTGAATTGTCTGTTTGTGTTTTTTCGGGATGAAAGTGAGTGTTTATGAGTGATTTATCTTGCTCGACAATATTAATTGTTGATGGTAAATTTTTAACTTTTGAAGCCCTTCTTGGAAATTGTGAAATTGATCTGTTATATGAAATTGGTATGAATCATAATACAAGCCGTTACCAGCTCATATAACTGTTGCTACTGTGTTCATTATTTTGGTATTTATATTTCCCAATGAATGTAAGACAAAATAAATTTGTTCCAACTGATGTTTCGCTATTTAATCCTTCTGATAGCTTTATCAAAGTTATAGTAAATTGGAACTTACTACATCCAAGCTTATGTATGTCTGTTTCTATCCACTGTCAGGGCTAGAAAACAATGAATAGTGTGTTGTATATTTTATATGAACGTGAAGTGTTATTATGTTACTGGGTGGTTGGTCTAAAATCATGCTCCCGAGTCCCGTCTCAAATTTAACATTCCAAAAATACTCTATATGTGTATAGTTAGTTTTATTTATATCATTTTTTTTCCTTCCTAGTCATGGGTATCTAGATTGCTAAACCCATCTGGTGCTAATTCCACTACACAAAAGCTTACTCAACATAATTTCCCGTATGCCAAAGATCTTGTTATACTGTTACCACTTCTAGTTAAATTATGTCGTGCACGTGCTTCAATTGGTTCTGAAGTTACAAATCCTGAAGTGAATAAATTCAATCCTTACTCTGGTCTATCTCGTGTATTAGCTTGGCTTTTACGATTAATGCGTTCCCCGATATCTTCACGTTACATATCAGCCTTACCTTCATTATCACAAGCAAATAGTACCAATGCAATAGCTACAGCAGCACGTGTTCAACTGATCAATCAAGCTATCTGGTTAGCTCATTTAGTTGGAGCCAACTCATCTGGTCGAATTTCACAAGCTTCAGATGCTGAATTATCATTAGATGATATAATTCTCGGGTTAGCTAGTGATTTGACTGCTGTACTGGGAAATGTAGCTGATAGCAAGGTTTGATTTTTTTTTTTCACTTTGTTTACTTGCATTTTAATGATCTGAAGCATATGAAGCTTTTGTTGAATGTATTTACAGTGTTTTGTATTACCAAGGAGTGACATGGGTTCCGATTTCACAGTGGGCATCAGTTCCCTTGAAGTTGTAGATACACCTTTTTAAGGAGTGGCAACTAGTGGTTCCTGCCGATCCCCTCCAACCAACTAATAAGAGTGTAACTTGTCATAGAACCTGTTTAAATAGCTGGAAGAGAATACAAATAAGGTTGAGATGAGTCAGAGCAAGTCATATGAAGAAACTGTTACCATCAGTCTGAAGACGAATATTGTTCTAGCTATCTGGATGATGAATGGTACTCCTTCACTGTTGTCATGGGGTTTCATATAGTCTTCATTTCTATCAGTATGTTGTTGACTATTTGTGTTGACTTTTCTTGGAGTTGTAACTCTCCGGTTAGCAATCTCTGTTTTAGTGGAGATATGGCTAGTTGATTTGGAGAAGTTACTTTCAACTAATGGGTTATAGGTTCGAGCCCGGCCCCACCTACTTAGGCTTGAACAACCACGTATTATAATTAACCATCTCACAGTAAGTGTGGCTCATTGCCTAATAGCACGAGTGTGCACAACGTTACTGAGTGCATTTTGATTTTGATTTTTGCGATCAGGTTGTAAGTGTATTCTGTCTTCAATAAGTATGCTTTGGGTTTGATTCCCAAAATGTAGATCCTATTCAACAATCATTTCAGTATTGTTCATCTTTGTCATATACTAGTTTCCATTAACACATATGTGAATATGAACTGTATTATAGGCTAAAGAGTTGAGGGTTTTTACTAAGTTTGGTGATTTTTTCCATCCTAAAATAACAAAAGTGACTGCAACTCACCTTTGTGCATTAGGCTACGAGTCATACATATTATATCAGCGCTAATAGTAATACTGCTTAACTACCCAAATCTCAGTAAGCAAAGCAGGATTCGAACTTGTGGTCCACTGGTCGGAAATCAAATCAGTAGACTAAGGAGCTTTTATCCTACTCTAATATCACTTGGATATTAAACTTCTATTTCTATCCATTTCATTACTAATCAGCAATCATAAAATATTAACAATTTCATTGCTGTAATTATTAACGATCAGAAGTCTGAGGATTTAAACTGTCCCACCCGAACAATTCGCAGGGTGAAGACAGAAGACTGAAACTCAGTGAAGTTCCTTATACGTCGAACTATAGACCTTAACCAGTAAAAATTCAGTATTTATGCAGTTACAATAGCCTTTAAGGACAGTCAGTCAACATGCTACCTAGCATTAATACTTTATGGTCGCCAGTAATCACATCAACACATCGAAGTATCATATACAGTATGGCAACTTGTACCGTTGTGGAGTAATATTAGGTCCCACTTTGATGTATACTGATAAACATTCAGATCGAAGGTATCAAAATGAAAGATAGAAGCAAGACAAGGGATAATTAGTATACTTTAAGTGGTGGAAGTCAATCAGAACATTGCGCGTTATCTGAAAATCGGTATGAAGGATAAGATTTTTAATAAGCATAGCAAGCAGTTCTAGGAAAATTAGAGGTTTTAACATTTCTAACACAAAAAGATGACTTTCATTGAATTTTTATACACTGTGAATAAATTGATTGACGTTTTGTATGTAATTCAGCGTTATATGAATTCAATACTGATAAACTCGTTGGGTGGGATACTTATGAATTATTTTTATCCAGAAAGCAGGGTATAATTTCTCACTGACACGAGGATCCTAAACAGTAATACAATATTATTGTGTGCTATATCAAATAAACAAGGGATTATAGAGTTAAGTGTAGCAACTAGTATAATTGTTTTTATATCATACCGTTGTTGATTGGACCGAATTGATCGGTTTCTATTGGCATATTGACTCCTGTGTGAATGCCTCGATATTGCCTGTGTTCTAATTATATTAGTGATGAATCATGGCTAGCAGTGGAATCCAGGATGCGGATTTCGTCCTACTTCGGACTCGTCAGTTGGATGTACCTGCTTCCCAGTGGGTTATGTTGTCCCCACTGGGATTCGGACTCAGGAGCGATCGCTTCAAACGCCAGGGCGTTATCCACTACATCTAGCTGACTAGCCCCAAATAGGACGAAACGCGCATCCTGGATTCCACTGCTAGCCATGATCCATCATTAATATGTTTAGAACGCAGGCAATATCGAGACATGCGCACAGCAGCCCATATGCCAATAGAGGCTGATCAATTCGGTCCAATCAACAACAGTATGATATAAAAACAGATATAAAAAACTATAACGGTTGCACAAGAAGTGGCTATCGTGGCTTGGTGGTGTGGTGGATAACGCCCTGGCGTTTGAAGCGATCACTCCTGAGTCCGAATCCCAGTGGGGAAGCAGGTACATCCAGCTGATGAGTCCCAAATAGGATGAAATGCGCATCCTGGATTCCACTGCTAGCTATGATCCTTCATTAATATAAGTGTAACAACATTCATTATTTATTCTACCAGTGTGAAATTATAATGCAAAATACCCTTACATACATGATCTTTCAGTATTTATGTGGTAGAAATGTGGCTCATTGGCTTAGAAACTTAACTTCCAAGAAATGGCTCCTTGATTTGAACCCTCCTTCATTCAGGATGTTTAGGTAATATCAAAGGCACTCACATATGAAATGTGGTTCACAGCCTAATACATTAAAATGTACGAGATTGATCTGTACTAGTGATGATATTATTATTGTTATTATTATTATATTAGCATGTTTTCGTAAAGTTATACTGGACGTTTACTTCTTAGGATACAACGTATTACCAATTTTTTCGCCATCTGTTGGGAAAATATATTTCTTTGTTTTCATTTAGGATATTAGTTTTATGCCTGATGCTAAAGAAGCGGCAATCACGTATCCACTGGTGACTCGTTCTTCTGCTTTATCCATTTTACCACTGATTTATGCATCGATAAAACAGACAATTAATGAATATGATTGGCTTTTAAATCATATTTCTAAAGATTATGCTGGTAGACTTGATGTAAAGGATAAAACAGGTAGGCACAAAGAAACTTTCTGATGGTTTGCTGGTTCTTATCAATTTTAAGAGCTTGACGAATTGTTTTTTATTACATAATGAAATTGTTTGAAAATTCATTGGAAACTGTGAAAGCGAAGCAATCTATTCTTCTCTACATTTTTGAGTGGCTAGAAACTGAATAGAAGAGTTCTAGTTCCTGCTACAAATACTTAACTGTTGATCGACTGAGTTAGAATCTACCATTTTAGTCATTCTGTGTTATATGAAGACTTCGCAGTATGCCTCTTTGATGCTACACTGAGTTTTATACAGGATCTGTCTTGTGCTAGTGCACAAGAAGGTTCAGTTAATGTTTGGTTAATTATATAAAATTTATTAATCCTAACCAACTTTGAACTTGTCAGAATTTTCTCATTGTGTGATACCAATTTTCGTGCAGATGTCTTCTACAGCTACAATGTTGATTGGTGTAGACTGAGGAAGGCATTCTTAGGATAACCAAAGTGGAGAATACCAATATTATAACTTGGCCAGTTCTTGTATGATTCCCAACCGATGGCTACCGCCATGATGTAGTGGTCAAGCTTGTATATCACAGTGATTCAACGAGCTACGCTGGCTACAGCGCTTGTTCATTGAGACCGTATAATGCCAGAAAGGTTTGTTGACGAGAAGCAGTTACCATCATAATGTAGATAGCTACAGTGTATTTCTGCAACTTCATCTGTACTGAATGATCAGAGAAGACTGATTCCTGCTGACTCTGACCGATATGGGAAGCGAAAGCGATAGAGATGGAGAAGGCAAAAGCATTAGGTAAAATATGGCAGTTATATAGGTTTATTAAGGTTACTTAAACAGGATGGTGATTGTACTTGAAACTGTCACCGAAAAACATAGTACTATGATAACCTCTAAGGACAGGCGGCTAAAACGTTAGGGGGGACACTTTGAAGCAAAGTTCAACTAGCCCCAGCAGCGCTTCAGTTTCCCAGGATCCAACCTGGTTCGCTAATGTCGGTCCTTGAAGTTGGGAAGGGTATTTTGAACTTGGGGTGATGCAAGGCAATAGGACCAGTCGACAGGTTTTGGAACACGAGCATGCTTACCAGTGGCCAACACTCGCCATATTTGTTGGTCTGAAGCTGGCACTCGATTCTGTCAACTGTGAGGTGTTGTGGCAGTGTTTGACTATGAAGAGAGTAACGAGCAAGTATATAACGCTAATCAAAGCTCTCTACTAGAACTCACGTTCCCGTGTCACGGCTTATGGAGTTGCCATATGAATTGACAACAACTGGTGGTGTCCACCAGGGATGCCCATTGTCACCGTTTCTACTAAACTTCGTTATGGATAAACTAATAGATATGATCTTAAGTTTGTTTGTCTGACGTCAGAGGGATTGATCTACTCTCTGAACGGCATCTGGTTGACTTGGAATACATGGACAACATTGTTCTGTTAGGTGGAGACGCTGCCAAAACTCAGGGTCTTGTGAACGCGTTAAGCAGAAATTTGATTATGTTTGACATGCGTATGGCTTGTATCTGTCAAATATAAGCTGGTGACGCTTCGGGACTGCTCTGCAGCTGTTCTTAGTCTTAGGATGGGGAGTGAAGTAATTGGTTGGGTTGACCACTTCACTAACTTGGAGAGTTGCATCATCCCGAACGGTTTTGTTGCTGACGAAATCTCAGTCCGAATCCAAAGGACTCTTTTAGCATTTGTTGACTTGCGTCACATGTGGCGCTGAGTGGTGAGAGATCTGACTACCTATTAAAAATTGAGTGTACTGCACTGAACTCCATTCTACCTTGTTATACGGCTATGCGACATTGCTATCAAAAGTAAAAGATAATAGGTGGTTAAAGGCTTTTCATCACAGGTGTCTTCGCATCATTGTTCTCGTGCGGGTAAATTATCCTGTTCGCAATATTGGGTTTAGGCGAGGGGTACTGGGGAAGACAGGTAAATCGATTGATGAGGTTGTGAACTTTATTCGACTGGGATGGCTTGGATATGTTTTGCGCGAGCTGAGCCACCGCCCACCTCGTTGTGCCGTACTAGGGGAAGATTAACCAAGTTGTAAGAGGGTTCGGGGTGACCAGACCAAGGCGTGGCACTAGTCGATGAAGTCTCTTACTGTTAACCTCAGCCGTGTAGGAAGTGAAAAAGTGTTTGGCTTGGGTCGCTGAAACGAAAGGAATCAGTGGTTGAGGTCTGTTGGTGATATGCCTGAAAATCGGTGACGATGGAACAGATGCATTCACTCTTTAACTTCTTCTAAAGCTTGAATGTTTTGACTAAACCCTCATTTTTAAATTCCTACTCCTTCTGTACATCTTCGTCTACTTTGATATCTCTCTTTTTCTACTCACGTGTTCTTTGTCTGCTACCATTAAGTGTGGCAACTTGAATGGATTTGCTTGCATGTGACGTTGTACGTTGATTTCATTTGTCTGTCAATCTCGTAGGATTTGATCTGCTTTATCTAGGGCACCTAGTTGACTTGGTGTACTTTGATAACACTTTCGTTGTAGGCCAAGATACTGACAAAACGTCCCGTTTTCTAAATATCTTCAGTGAGAATTTGAGTATGTTAATCCTGCGTTTGGCGCCTTTCAGTTTTAAATTTTGCTTCAGGACTGATGTGCAGTGACTCCCAGTTTAAGGAGTTGGAGTGAAGTAGCAGGGTGCATTGGTCACTTACTTACTTGGGAGATCGCATCACCCCGAATGGGTTGGTGTTGACCAAATCTCAGTTAACATACTTCAAGTTCGTTAGGCATTTGTCAACTTACGTCATCTGTGGTGCCGGCGAGATATCCGACTATCTATTGAAGGATGGGTGCACTTCACTGTACTTCGCTCTACTATTACTGATGTAAGACGTAGTCTTCGAAAGCAAAATGTGTAAAGGGACCACATGCTTTTGATCACTTTTCTGTCTTAGTAGCATTGCTAACTGGTGTTTGAATCACTTTTTGAGCACTTGCGGGGTGTAAGACCAAGAAGTCAAGTCAGTCAATGAAGTGGTGAACTTTCAGTGACTTCGGTGACTTGGATATGTGCTACATTCGCCTTTCCATCACTTATCTCGATGTACTATTTAAAGCGAAGATTGACTGGGTTTGAAGAATGCTGAGGGTAGCCAAATTAAGTTGTGGCAACAGTTCATGAGGTTTCTGACTCTTGGTTTGAGGTTGTAGGGAGGTGTAGACTGTCTGATAGGATTCCTCAAGATAACAGAAATAAATAGCGTGAGACTCTGTTAACAAGGCTGAAAACTGATCAAAATGGGCTTTGTGTATTCACTCGTTGACAACTTCTGAAGTTTCTATATTTTCACTAACCTTGACTTTCGAATTCTTTCTACTTTCATACCCTTTTGTCTACCTTGGTATCTGTCCTTTTTTGATGCTCTTGTTCTTTACTTGCTATTGTGAATTGTTAAAACTTTACATGATACACTTCTGAAGGAGGTTGTATGTTGATTTGTCCGTCAATTATATGCTCAAACTGATCGCTAGACGAACGCAAATTCATGGAGTGATACTTAGTGGAAACTGGATTTCGTTTTCCAATGTCTTTCAGCATAATAATCGGTTAACGAATTCAGATTTTTATTGACATGCTTGATGTAACTGCTGGTGATACCAACTTTCTGTTAAAGCCTTAGTGTACATTTAGCTGACTTTGGTTCGATAATGCAGTACATTGTTTTGAGTTAATTTCACTTCGGTTCACTGATGGGAAATGTAACAGCTTCTACGAATACAGGTTGACAATTATAATCTATTTTCTTGCAAGTCAACAGTGAGTGTTTGATTCTCTTCTTCATTTTTTTCCTCAGCATCTAAAGATATTGGCACAAAACTAGAAGGTAATGAACAAGAGGAGGCACTTTGTCTACGTCTAATTGGACTTGGAGAGATATTAGCCCAATTATTGCAAACAGCACTTCCAGCACCAAGTTCACATGTGGATACATTATTGGAGATTGGTGTGTCTGTGTTTAACCTACTTGGTCGCTTAACAAAATATGTTAGTTATTTTCTCATTTGATAAAAAGTTAACAACCTACCCGTAATAAATAGCTTTCTACAACTTTGGATTAAATTATTTCTATTTGATTGCCTTTCATCATATTGTTGCTTTGTGTCACAGGGTAACGATGTGAGACAAAGTAACTAAGATCGCGTGGCAAATATTTGGTTCAGTTTTGATGCTGACTGAATTGACTTGTCTATTAATTTATTGCATAAAAATATCACAGCCTAAATTCCCAATTCTTATAGTTCTAATTCTGGATGAGATTACACTGTTATGTAATATGGTGAATTCCAATTCCAAATATTCATTCCAACTTCGAAAGTATGAACAACTTGAATCGTTGATTATCTAATATCTCCAACTGAGAGAATTTATTTGACACTTTTTTATTCTACAAAATAAGTTTGAACTCAAGGTAGTTAACTACTTTTAAAACGCTTTTCTCAACATTTTTAAATGTATAAGTGCGAATTTTTTTCCAAGAAATATGTAACCAAAGCGATTCTCCAACAATAAATCAAACGGCCGAGTTACGCGTAAAATTCAAAACACAGGATTTGCCTGAAATGCGGTTATTTATGAATAAAAAAATGGTGACTAGTCAATTATGGACCTTGAGTCATGAGGTATCTTTGGGTTTATCTCTATCAAAGCATGTTATGGAGACTGCGTCAATAGCATAGCACCATTGTTGTGTCCAAGGCAAACCGAAAGGAAACTAAAAGGCGCATGTATCATACGGTGAGTTAAAGACACGAAATAAGCAAATGTTCAAGGTAAAATCGAACACTAGGGAACAACAAGGTGAATCTCAAGATTGTCATGAACAGGAAAAAGTACCCATACCTGCGGATGTTAGATGATGAGCAAGATATACAATTGAATAGGATATTTTGTATTCAGCTAATGAGACTTTTTTAGGTCCACTTAACCAATTTGTAACTGCAAGGTTCTGGGGGATCGTATGAAGAATTGTCTGGTCATTTTTTCATTTAAGTGGTGCAGTTATAACCATAAAGGTTTGTCGATTATCTCATGAGTAGGCTTTGATAAAAATTTCCTGTTTCTCAAGTCGGGCACCTGAAGGTGATTTCTTTAAAAAGTTTCTCAGTTCTGACTACTATTTACTGCTTACTTTCTGTTTTTCACTGGATATCATGTACCTCTAGCTATGATATTTTGGTTAATGCAAATCCCTTTTGATTTTATCTCGTGTTTTTAATTAGTATTTACATATTATTGGGTTGCACTGTGGTCGATTTCCAGTTATTTTTGAACGAGTAGTGCGTGTTTACGGTCGTGAAGTAGCCCCACGTGCATATACATTGTTCTCCTACATACAGGTAAATCATTTTCCTGGATAATTTTAATGTGATATGCACTTTAAAGGTTTTTCAGTCAAATATAGCCATGAAATTAGATTTGTTGATAAAAACACTTACCTGATTTACAAAGAAGACAATATGAAATTCATTTTTTGTAGCAATAACCAACCTCAACTCAGAAAACACTCTACAGTTTTGATTACTTGGCTGTAAGGCTTTCTGAGTGTATACAGGTCTGTGATACTGATACCAAATATTTAATCTACCAATGTTCGAGATTCCCTCCTTTTTAATTAGGTCATTCTGGTGAATTTAAACTTTTGCTAAATTCAATGCTACAGGTGGCTCTACTCTAAATCTCACTCAAGAAAAACGTTTATATACATATGACATTTTAAAGCGTTCCGTTCTCCTTGCTGTGTCTTGTTCTTATTTACTAATGTAACTATATTAGGAATCAAATTGAAGTGCAGTCGATTGTTTTATTGTGCCACTGAGTTTGTTTCCTTTGTTAAGTGGGATTGTTTTTTCGATTCCGAATCATATATGATACTATCCGGCTACCTAGGTTGAAGTAGGTGGAGTGGAATTAGAACTTGAGACAGTGTTAAACACGAGTTTCTTAACGAATGAACTGCATCTCCAGTGTAACCAATCTCTTTCATTAAGACCTTAGGTATACTGTTATGCAGCGATGCACATCAGCGTTTTTTGATTGGATGGATGACATCTAGAAAAATTGTCATTGGCTTGATCAGATGCTTATTTTCGCTGTCTTATTTAAACTATGAACACTGAGTATGATTTAACCATTTAAGAGGTTGTTTATGTATTACAAGATCGTATTTAGTAAACTATTTGTTTCATCAATATTGAGGTTAGTTCCAGACTCGAATAGATTGTTTCTTCGACTACATAGTTAGTTATTGGGACTGAAGCTGTCGGATTGCACTCTTTGCTTATCGGTTGGTTGTACGTTCTGAAGAGCACATTATTGTGAGTACAGAAATAATAGAAAATGTAAAAGAATATCTTAAGTAGAACATAAAAAAACTAGACGGATCATTGACTTTCCCTTTGAGCACTGTCAGGAAGTGTCGATTAGTCAGATGAGTTGTTTAAACCAGTACAAATCTTTAACATTTGGTACTGAATGACATCTTTTAAGTTTCATATCATATAAAGGGTGTCGTCACTAGATCAGGTCACTGTGGATTTTCAACAAATTGGCTTTATGTTTCGCTCTCGGAGACGAGATTTTCCATCTTGTAGAGTTTTCGTTATACATTGATTTTATTTGTAAACGTATTACATACTTCTGTGATCAACTTGTATTTTTTGTGGTTAGGCAGTCAACATTAAGCTTACCGCCAGTTTGACTGATTCGATTACTCTTAGCCATCTGAACTTCGAATAGGTGGAAAGATAAACGTGTAATTGGAAGGTACGAACCTCGTTTTTCTTAAGCAGTTTTATCGTTAGTGATGGGTGGTGGCTAGCAGTGGAATTCAGGATGCGCTTTTTGTCTTGTTTGGGACTCGTCAGCCGAATCTACTTGACTTCCAGTGAGGGATGTTGCTTCCACTAGAGTTTGAGCCTGTGACCGACTGCTTCAAACAGTAGAGCGTTATCCACTACGCCACTGAGTCGTGACGACCAGTTGTGCGACGGGTATAGTTTTAATGTTGTTGCTTTAGTTATCCCGTCGTTGAATGGGCTGAATTGGTCGGCCTCTATTGGCATGTGTGCTCCTGCGCTGATGCCTCGATATTGCCTGTGTTTGAACGATATATTAATGATAGATAGTGTCTAGCAGTGGGGTCCAGGACTCAGTGGTCTGGTGGATAACTCTCTGGCGTTTGGAACGACCGGTCCTGAGTTCGGGTCTTAGTGGGGACAACATCGGCCACTGGGAGGAAGGTACATCCAGCTGATGAGTCCCGAGTGAGACGAAACGCGCTTCCTGGATTCCACTGCTAGCCATTATCCATTATAACTGTATGGTTCGAACACAGGCAGTATCGAGGCACCTGCTCAGAAACTGATAAATTTGGTTCACTCAGCGACGGGATAATACAAGCATGAATAATAATTCTACCTTTGTTGTGTGGTTATTACTGACTGGAATTAGTGAGATGGACATATTGGCATTGAATCGAACAAAATGAAAATTCACTTAGCAACGATGTGTACGATCGCATAGTAGATAGTGAGCCACACAGATCGTTTGATGGCTATTAACACTACCTACCTGTCTAGACCTGAGTAGGCGCTGCGAGGCTTGAACCAGTAGCCCGGTAGTTGAGATTCGAGTACCTAGACTAATGAGCTATAGTTCTACGCATAACGACTTACATTGGAATTCATCAGTCCAGGTCGTCATCCCTCGCAGAAGCATAAAACTGAGTTTCAATCAGAATATAGTACTTTTCAAATAAATAAATGTGTAACACGAGACACAATAATTGAAAGAAAGTCAGTAAGGATTAAGTACATCAGTGCCATTATGACAGGTTATAGCCATAATATCGTAGGTCTCCAGCCATTAATTCTGGGACCCCTCACCTTGTAAACTATGTCTGTCTACATTTCTCTGACCAATCTTCTGAGACTTCATAGATTTTTTACCATATCTTGATGTAGCTACGCTCAGTTTTCTTCACTCTAACCCATCGTTAGCTAATATTGTGCACTACAGTAGACTATGAATTGGCATGCGTGAAACGTTTTCGTCGCATCGGTTAGTGGGGACACAATTTACTCGACTGATTAGCCAGATAGATAGACAGAATCAACGTAGATTCTTGCAAACAAATGTATCGGTTCAAGTTGCTACACTTCACAGTAGTATGCAAAGAACAGGAGTATAGAATAAGAGTGATATGAAAGTGGACAAAGTTGCGTGAGAGAATAAGCAATTTGAAGATAAAAGTTAGTGCGAATAATAAAGCTTTAGAAGAACTCAAAAAGTGAATTCATCTGCTTCATTGCAACCGATTTTCAGCTATGTCACTAAGAAGTCTTAACCTTGGGTAGTCTACACCTCCCCACACGACTCAGACCAACAGTTAGAAACTTTACGGACTGGTATATTGTTCTGGTCACCCTGAACCCTCTTCTAACTTAATCCAGCTTCCTCTAGCATAATCAATTAATTCACTCTCTATCTTAGAATTAATCACTGATCAGTTTTGGAGCATGATCTTACATTTGATTTGTGCAAAGCATCCTAAGTGTGTTCAGACTCTCTGTGGAGGCACTCAGAGGACATCCAATTGGTCAAAATCTTCCTTTCTAGCACTATCTTTTATGCATACTCGAAGCAAACTAGGAAACTGGAGTCTTCTGAAGCTAAGGAAAAAGTTTATATAGATTTGTTTTCTTATGAAAAGGGAAGCACGAAGAACCCTAACATTACCAAAATTTCCACATTTAAAACTGTCAGTATACTTCATCATGCTACTATTCACTGTTCTACCTCACCGTAGAAGTCTGTTATTTTCTTTTTTTCTTTTTGTATCGTTCTCAAATTAATCAGAATTCAGAAAGTGAGAAGGTTAAAGGATTCCAGGAAAGTAAGGGTTTAAAAAAGAAGTTGAATGATAAGGACCAGTGTGAATCGAAGAAACAGACATCTGCTTCAGGAATGCCACAAGCGTTGGTAAGCTGTAACATGCAGTTTTTTGCCACTGATTTGCCTTATTATTATTATTTGTCCCTTGAGTTCCTAGTGGAACACAGGGCTTCAGTAGTAGCACGTCTCCATTCCACTTTGTTCTCGGCAGTCGTTTCAATCTGGCTCCGCGACCGCCTAGAAGCTTTCATTTCTTCCCCACACCATCTTCATGTCATCCTCGGCACTGACGCCCAACTCCTCGTTTCCCGTTTGGATTCCACTCGAGTGCCTGCAGCGTGATATCTCCGAACGGCTTTCTCAGTGTATGCCCAATCCACCTCCACTTTCTTCTGCATATTTGTTGAGTGATAGGTTTTTGGTTGGTTCGTTGCCAGCCACAGTTCCTTGTTGTTTATTCTTATTATTCTGGCCATCTGATCTTCAGTATCGAGCGTAGGCAGCTGCTGATGTGATGAATGTCTTTAGTTTGTTGGAAATCCTTTCGTAACGCGCCAAGTCTCTGAGCCATACAGAAGCACTGACTTGACATTGGCACTGAAAATCCGGATCTCGTCTTTATGTTGAATGCAGAAGATTTCCACACTGATTTCAGGCTAATGAACGCCTGTCTTGCTTTTCCGATGTTGGCTGCTTTGACATCCTCGTGTGTGCCGCCTGTAGTTGAAACAGTGCTGCCTAGGTAGATGAAAGAGACTTCCTTTAAGTTTCTCCCGTTGATGGTGATTGGTGCTTGTTGTTGTTGGTGGTAGTGTTGGTTGGGTATCTTCATCACATCTATCTTCTCTATGTTCACCTGAAGGAAGTCCCGTCTTCGCTGCGTCTTCTGTCAACTTGTTAGTTTTCGCCTGTAGATCTTCGAGTTTGTGCTACATAAGACAGATATAAATCGTCATCGGTGAAATCCGAATCTTCTTGTGGGGTCTTTTCATCGGTCCAGTCAGCGTATGCCCATCTTCTCGCTACTCACAGTTTGTTGCATGATCCAGTCCAGTCGATAATAATCTAGAAGATCATCGGTGATAGTAGGCGGCAACCTTGTCTTACTCCTTCCTTTCTTTACTTCACTGAGCTTTCCATTGTGAATTACTTGGCATGTGGCGTCTTCATATAGTTGTTGAATGAGCTTGATGGTGGTTTCTGGCACTGAAACCGTAGTGTTGAAGCAGCTGCTGCCAAATTGCTTCTTGGTTGACGCTATCGAAGGCTTTTTCAAAGTGGATGAAGTTGAGGTAGAGATTTGACTGCCATTCTATACTCTATTCTATGATGATGCATAGTGCAGCGTTGCAATTTGATGAGCACATGGTTTGTTTTTCCTGAAGTCAGCCAGCCTGTTCCAATCGTTATTTTGAATCCAACACTTCTTTTAATCTCTCCAGAATGATGTGGTATAATATTTCAGTCAAATTCGTTTGTTTGCCTGATTTCTACTCTTTTTGATGCTGCATAGTTCATTAGTCATGCTGCAACATTTATCTTTTTATATTCAAATTCTCCATGATAGACTCTCATTTTAGTTTCCCTGTTGCCATCACTTACCAACTTACCTAGATCTACGCATTTTACTTGAGTATTCTTTCTGCCATTTTTCTATCACTAGTCAATAGGTGGTATCAACCGCACGTTGACAAGCCTTATACTTTTTTCGAAAAATGAGTTTTGACGTATGACCCATTGACTAAAAATCAACTAAGCAGACTAGTGAACCACAGTCCTGAAGTGCTACAGTTGGATATGATGGATCAGCATTTGAACGAAATGTGCTTATTTCCTGTATATGTTAAGCTATCCGATGAATTTGTTTGTACGATTATACCACATAACCTTAAGCAACATGATTTATAAGAATTAGGCAAACCAATTTCATGTACAGAAAATAAAGTCAAACTATTATGATTTCATTCAATAGAAAATTATTTCAGAACTGTAAACCATGAAGAAATTAATAAGAGAGTCAATCGGAAGCTCTTAAGCTGAACTATACAATAGTGTCATAAAGTAATTGATAGGTAAAGATTACCTTTTAAGATGAATGTTACAATACAACTGGTAATACTTATCTGAGATTTATATTTCCCATTTTTCGGCCAATATAACACATGCAGCATTGGTGGTTCACAAATTCAGATTGTTTCTTCGACTACTGCGTTAAAATTGCATCAGTTATCTACTTATCAAGATATGTATTTACTTATAAATTCTAAAATAACCCCAACAACCAGGCCCAACAGATAGCTGCTGCCTTGACGTGGTGGTCGGGCTTGCATATCACAATGACCCAACGAGCTCAAGGTCCTACCATACCAGAAAGGTCTGTTGGATAGTGGTTAGACGAAAAGCAGTTACCGTTGTAGTGTAAATTGCTACACTATGATGAGGGTCTGAGGGCGAAGTCGTACTGCTGGATGAGGTGTGACAGCAGTAAGGTGTTTCCCTTGGATGACCAGGAGTGTCATGCTGATGCTGCCTTCTCAATGGGAGGGGAGGGGAGGGTAGGGGGGTCAGAAAAGGTCGGCCCCAAAAATAACACACTTCACCATGTCCCATGGTGTTGGTTTATTTGTCATTTCCTTTCAACCATCCGGCCCCAAAAATACAAAAGTTCAAAATAATCATACTCAAGTGGCTTCATGTGACAGGCCTCAAGCAGATGTCTGATGGGCTGTGCGGTCACACAAATCTGTTTCAGGTACCTTAATAAGAAATAGCCTTCCAGTGTGTGGATAGCCGGGAAGTGTCAACCGCCCTCACAACTCTGTCAGCACCCAAGTTTCTTCTGACTGCTATCCATCTCCTCCATCATTACCTTCTAATCTTCCTTCACGTCTCCCAACTAACGATACTACATCATTTTCAATTTCTCGTATCTCTGTAGCCTTCGACAACGATCTGAGTCCACAGAACAGCATCCGTGGTCTCCCTAGACCACGCTCTAAATTACATATTGGAGCCTTCAATGTCCGCACCCTCCGTCAAATTGGTCAACAGGCTTCGCTGGAAAAGACTCTAGCAACTCGGGCATGGATGTGTGCTGTGTTTGTGAGACACGCATACAGAACCCAAGTGTGGTTATTCACCTGACCTCTGCTGACCAATCTAGTGAATCCACAAAATTCACCCTTCGAGTTTCTGGAGATTCGATAGCTAGCTCTCGTGGTCTTGCAGCTGTAGGCATAGCACTAAGCACTAGGGCAGAAAACTCACTACTAAACTGGATCCCAGTTGATAGTCGCCTCTGCGCTATGCGGCTGAACGGCACAGTGATAACTAAAAGGAATAGTGAGACTCGCCGTTGTCTCTTTGTAATCTCTCTTTGCTCACCCACTGACTGCATTTAGCCTCCTCTCGAAAGCCAAACGTTCGGACGTGGTGGTTGTTGCAGATGATTTCAATGCACAGGTGGGTAGACTGAATGAGGCAGAAAGGCACTTAGGTGGCATTTTCGGAATCCCGGCTAGACGAACAGATATTGGTGATCGCCTGCTTCAACTATCCTCAGATAACCGCCTATTTTTAGCCAGCACCAATATCAGACATAAAGAAAGACACTGTCTGACGTGGTGTCCACCGCGCTCAACTCAGCCATGGACACAGATAGACCACATTGCTATTAGTCATCGCTGAAGAGAATTGGTGGGAGACTGCTGCTGTTTCTGGAGTAAGTGTTTGGATAGCGACCACGCGTTGGTCCGAATGCCTATATGCCTGCATATGAATGGACGTAGGAAACATTTGACAACAAAACCACTACGAGTGCTGCTGGACAACGAAAACACCAAAGCTGCTCTCAGTGAGAAGTTGGCTGGGCAGTTATCGGAACAGAAGACTATCACTCATCCAAAAGAAGCTTGGTGTCATCTCCAGTCTGCTGTAAAAGCAGCACTGAAGACTGTAGCCGACTCCGGAAGAGTCGCTAAAAAGAGAAAGTGGATATCAGCAGCTTCTTCCGAACTAATGGATGCACGTGAACGCATCCCTGCAGGCTGTGAGTACAATGAAGAGCGAGCGCAACTTGAAAGTAGACTGAGAAAAAGTCTACGCAACGACTGCGAACAGTGGTGGGCAGTGAAGGCTAAAGGGATGGAAAAGGCAGTGGCGATCGGTAATAGTAGACAGTTATTTAGACTCACTAAGGAGACTGTGGGGAAAGATAAGCAACGGTTAGTGAGGCTATAGCGGAGAAGGACGGATCTGTGAATCATTAGCAGAGGAGACAACTGGAAAGATGGGCAGATCACTTCGAGGAACAGCCTAACTGGCCTCCAGCCACCATTGCGTTGCCCACTATCCAGTCGGATCATAAATGGAACATTGATATATGCCCCCCAACACTAGAAGAAGTCGAGAAAGCGGTAAGTAGCCTGAAACTAGGAAGGGCAGCAGAACCAGACGGACTACCTGCTGAGGTATACAAGAATGGTGGTAGAGTGCTCTTAGTCAGGTTACCGGAAGTGTTAGCCAGTATATGGGAATCAAATACGATCCCCTCCGACTGGTCTAAGTCACTCATCATCCCAGTCTTCAAGAAAGGCGAGAAGTCCTCTTGTGATAACCACAGAGGAATCAGCCTGACAAACATAGTGTCTAAGATCCTAAGTTCTATAATTCTCCGACGCCTGAGTGGAGCTCGGGAACAGCAAGCCCGAGAAAACCAGGCAGGCTTTAGACCTGGCCGTGGATGTATCGACCAAATATTCACACTGCGCCAGGTCCTGGAACATAGGCATGCTTACAGACGCCCGACAATAGCTGTATTTCTCGACCTGAAGGCGGCATTTGACTCCGTTGATCGAGAAGTCTTATGGCAATGTCTGTCACTGAAAGGCGTGCCTAGTAAGTACATCACCTTATTGAAAGCTCTCTACTCGAACACTTGTGGGCATGTTAGAGCCTATGGTGAGTTGTCCAGGGAGCTATACTCATCAAGTGGTGTCCGTCAAGGATGCCCACTATCCCCATTCTTATTTAATTTTATCATAGATATTCTTATGGAGGTTTCCCTCTCGTCACCTAATTACAAAGACGTTGACCGATCACAGGTGAATTTTCCTTAGATCTAGAATATGCAGATGACATAGTCCTGTTAGGTGAAGACGCTGACAAGATGCAGAGTCTTCTGAACACTTTGAGTGGGAATTTGAGAATGTTTGGGATGCGATTTTCACCACCCAAATGCAAATTTTTGCTCCAGGACTGGTCTTCAGCGGTACCGCGGTTAACAATAGAGAGTGAAGTGGTTGAGTGTGTTGACCACTTCACTTACCTGGGAAGTAGTGGGTTAGTTGCCGATGAGATTTCTGCACGGATACAAAAGGCTCGATTGGCTTTTGCCAATTTGCGCCACCTATGGCGCCGCCGTGATATTCGTTTGTCTATTAAGGGTCGCGTGTACTGCACAGCAGTCCGCTCTGTTCTACTGTATGGCTGTGAAACATGGCCATTGAAAGTGGAAGATATAAGAAGGCTTCAGGTGTTTGACCACCGTTGCCTTCGTAGTATAGGACGTATTCCGTGGTGTCACCATGTGAGTAATGCAGAAGTTAGGTGTAGAGTTTTAGGGAGAAGAGGTAAGTCAGTCGACGAGGTTGTGAACCTTCATCGACTGAGATGGTTGGGACACGTACTACGTATGCCTAGTCACCGATTGCCTCGTCACACAATGTTGGCTGAGGTGGGTCCAGGCTGGAAAAAGGCCCGAGGTGGCCAGACTAAAACATGGCACCAATGTATGAAGTCTCTGACTGTTGGTTTAAGCCATGTAGGACGATGCAGACTAGGTGGTTGGGGTCTGTCGGACAAGAGGAACCAGTGATTGGAGACTCTAGGTGATATGGCTCAGAACCCATGTCAGTGGCGCAGATATATGCATACATTATCCTCATCTTAACGACGCTATACCGAATCTCACTATTTTGTCATTCTTCCTTTCTCTCTCTGAGTACTTTATATTTCTTTTGACTGCATTCTCTTATCTTCATCTTGCGCCTCACTGCCTTTTTTTACTTGATGTACACATATGAGGTGTGGCAACTCGGATCGTTACACAGTAGTGCCTGGTCCTATGTTGATATTGATTGGTTGATTGATTCCAACAACCAGGTAGCGTTGTTAATATGGTAGTAAGACCTGCACACTGTAGTAGGTTGTAATTCCATTTTAGTCTGTTTGTTATAGATGTATCATACTAAAAGAAATTATGTACTGGATAACGTTTCGAACACAATTTATTGCTCATATTTATATTAGGTTAACTCGATAACTATGAGATATGATTTTTATCGTTGCAAATACGAATATATACACTAGTTCTGTGGATGCTAAATGTATCTGGTTCGATAGTTAGAGGATTGAAGAAATTGTATTTATATTTCGCTTTCCAAGCGTAAATTTATCAATCGTTCTTTAGGTTGGAAATTCTTCCTTCGAAATGGTTTAATCGTGAAATTCATCATCGGGATTCAGTCTACAGAAAGGTTAAAAGAAAGAAGTATAACTTCTGTATTGGGAAATTGTTTTCACCAGGATTTCTTGTAGACTGAAGACATGTTTCAGTGTAAAAGGCTAGAATTCACATCGTCTATGAATTATTCTTTTCTAATTGATGTCTGATTGAGGGAGCTATTAAGGTAACTGATTCAAATCTCACTGAAAACCATGTTTTCTTTTAAACTATGATCATCGTCCAGCTTTCTAAAAATGTGTTTACAGTTTCTTTTGGGTCGTGTGCAGTTATGAAATTCGTGTTCTGCGATTTACGCACGGATTGAAATATGCATTGCTGCATGAAAATAGGATTTCAGTTCTGCTCAAGAAGATTACTATTTACTTCCAAAGTAATTCCTTCGAAGGATGTTGAATTTACTCTTATATTCCTGTTGTCGGTGATCTGTGATGATGATTTGAAAATAAGGCCAGCATAACTATCTCTCTTGTATTAGGTACTTTATATGAATGCATTTTTTAAAAACGTACATCAAATCCAATTATTAATTATGATTCATTTCACAACCTTTTTCGTAGATATCTCGTACTATAAAAGATTCTCGTCTCATTCCTCAGTTAATTTATGCTATTGAGCAGTATGAACGCTTTCTAATGCAGTTATCTAAAAAGTCTAAGGTATGTTGTTCTTTCGTCAGCAGTTATTTGATATTTTCTATCCATTGCATTGTGTTATATTTGTAAGACATTGCTTTTTGTACTTCTTAGTTTAAACAACTCCCAATTTCAAGACTTTATCCGTGACAATAACTATGAATTCTGTAGGTCTCATCTAGATTAATAATAATAATAATAATAATAATAATAATAATAATAATAATAACAATAATAGCCTTATTCCGAAAGATATTTCGGGAATACTGTACAGAATTTTCAGCATGTCATATGACATCAATGTGTACATAATGAAATAAGAAGAAATTGCATACAAAAGATAAGAATAGTTACTCAATCTACAACATTCTTGAAAATGCAAACTTAACTTGGTTAAACATTCACATTAGCAATTATATTCATAATGCATAAATAATTAGCTGTGTAATCTTCAATTAGTTTGCTTTCAAAAACAGAAATTGATGAGTTAATACATTTCTCCAGTTGCTCCCAGTCTTACTTGAGGACCAACGCGTAGAGTGCTTTCAGTGAAGAGGATGTGTTGGTCGTCTGTTAAAATAACTCTTAGCAAATGTTTACATGAGTTAGTATGTTTGTCCGCAACTGTTTTAACTAGAACGTTTAGAGGTACACCACTAGTTTTGCTGATAATCTTCAAATTTGTAAACAACATGCCTTAGTCTTTTTTAAGCAAGCCAAGAAAGAATAAAAGGGAGAATAGAGGTGAATTTGCAAGACGTAGGAGTTTATAAAACGCTAGAGAACGCACTGAATTATACCAGATATTCTCAGCTTCTTGATACAGAAAGTTAGGCGGAAAATGTTTTCGGAAATTAGTAGTGTGGGAAGACCCGATAAGGTGTGAAGAAAAACAGGCAGGAATAAATCACATTTGTGATATTTTTGAATACACACCCACCAATAGAACAGAAATCATGAGACTTAAGCAGCTTACATAGGGTATGTTCGAGTCCGAAACTGGAGTTGAAGTCTCACATTTTGAAGAATTAAGCACAATCCCATTCATGGGGGACCATCGTCCAATAATAGACAAGAAACCACTTAGTTGAGAATAACCTGATGAAGACGAGACAGGTCTGGAAAGTGTCAGATCATTAGCATATTTGATTAAATTGATACTAGCTGAAGACGACGAGTTATGCAGAAGGGAAGAGGAAAGAACAGCTCCTTGGAAAACATCAGTCACAGTAAGGAATGAGGTGGAGCGCTTCTATCAGTGATCAGTATATATATTTTTCCTTCAGAGAAATAGGAATGTAAGCAGCATTATCCAGAACCCAGTATTTATCCTGGCCAGCTTGTTCAGCGAAGGAGTTCTTGGGACAGAATCAAATTCTGTTAGCATCACAGCGGTTGTTTATTCCTTGTGTGATTTCAGAGAACTCTATCATTGGTGTTGGATTTATTCATGATATGACAGAAAAAGTCACTGCAGGACGTAGCATAACTGTCTAACATTCCATGTTGGCACATCATATATCAGGCTTACAAGCGAGAATGCACTCAGTTGAAAGACAAAGAAATTATAAGAAGACATTCAAAAGTGGTGTAAAGTTGTCAAAAGAGACCAAGAAGAAACTTTAAAATAGTGAGATTCATTATGCCAATTGAGATGAAGATAATGTTTGGATTTATTTGCACTACTGAATTTGATTCTCAGCCATATTACCCAGGATCTCAAACCACTAGTTTCTGTTGGCACGTGAACTCTAACCGATGAATGTATATACTACTACATGGCTCATAGCAACTGTCAAATAGTTCAGGGACCAATGCCATGTTTTAGTCTGATCACCTATAACGTCATCAACTGACATTCTTCTTCTGTCCAATACTCTACGTGTGATTCCTATGTTATTCATGCAGTGACACAACGACAAATAGTTTATGATACGAATGCAATAGTGGTCTATCACCTGAAAACACCTCATGTCCTCTACCCTTAATAATAACATTTCACTGCCACATAGTAGATTAGAGAGGACTGAAGCGCACTACACTCGACCCTTAACAGACTGTTGGATATCACAATGTCTCCATTGTTGGCGTAGCCTGATGAAAGGGCAACAAACCCTTCGTTGCTGTTCACTAGCTTCATGCACCGCTGACTCACCCTGGTTTACTCAAATTCCCAGCCTAGTGAAGTGTCCAATGCACTTAACTGTTTCACTCCCTGTTGTTAGATAAGGTTTCACTGGAAACTTGTCCTGGAGCTACAGTTTGTATTTAGGTGGTGAGAAACGCAATCGGACCATTATGCAATCACCACTCGTAGTTTCCAGTAAACTCTGCACATTGTTGGGGTCCTCTCCTAACAGCACTATGTCTTCTGCGTACTTCTATGATAAAATCGACCTGTGTAAATTGAGATGAGAAGAAATAGATATCTTTAAGTACATGGATGATAATGTTGAACAAGAGTGGACATCATTGACTACAACTACTCGATTCATACAGCCAATATGATAACTCACCGTAGGTTCTAATGCAGCTACAGGTGTTCTATTACAGTCTTCAACAGAGTGATACACTTACTGGGTACCCTTTTCAGTGAGAAATACTGCCTTCAGATTTTGTAGTAGATTGAGTCGAACACCACCTTCTGGTTGAGAGATTTCGCTAACTTATACCATCCGTGGCATCGCCACAGTATCCGATTGTCCGTTAAGGCTTGAGTGCACTGCGCTGCACTTCTCTCTGTCCTACTAAATGACTGCTTTCTTTACATCTTTATCTTTCATCGTAATGCATTCTTGCTTGATTTCCTGATATGAGGTGTGATAGTTAGGATTGGCATATGCCAATGCTAGGCCCAATGTTGATACCTACTGACCATCTGGTTATATGTGTGACTTTGACCTATTGCTAATGCACTTGAAGGACAAGTTAAGGTTTCAGATATTCGATTAATTTTAGTTTGATATTATCTCTCGCTTGCGTAGTTCGATTGTGTGAATGAGAGGCATTAAAAATGATTCTTCAACAATTAACCAATTGACCGATTTACGTGTAAAATTCAAAACACAGGATTTGTCTGAAATATATTCCTGTAATAATAAACAATGGTGACCAATCAATTGTGAACATCAAGTCGTAAAGTATCTGTGAGTTTATCGCTGTCATAACACTATAAAAAGAGTGCGTCCACAGTACAACAGTTGTGCCGTGTCCAGGACAAACCGAAAGGGAAACTGAAAGACTCGGGTATCCCACAATAAGGTAAAGACATAAGATAAATATCGAGAGGCAACAAGCTGAATTCAAACGTCGTCATGAATGGGGAAGTGTACTAATATGTAGGAGGGTTAAATGATGAGGAAGATGCGATTGAGTGGGATGAACAGTCAGATGGTGAATGAAGTAACATTATGGGAAAACATGAATTATGTTAGTCAATAATGCTGAGTAGTAGTATAAAAGTTGAGTTATAAAAAGGGTGTATAGGTGTAGCATCACACAGGGTGAATGAGAACAAATGGTTAATTTCCTCAGTCTATTAGTTTGGGATCTATTTTCATGCGATAAATCCATTAATGTGAGTTGGTTTCACATACTATGTGGGTTGGGTAGTCATGCAGTGGTTATATGACTTGCGTTCATTCAGGAGCTGTGACTCATATCGTGGTACCTGTATTTGGATGTTATTGTCAATGTGTATAATTGTTATAATGGATTTCTCTTCTTAATAAGTTACTTGTTGAGGTAGTCTGTTTTTGATTGGCACTTTTTACTCACATCATCAATATCATAATAATTGAATATCTCTAATTTTGTAGGAAGTTCCCCTGACTTAAGTATGTTGGAGTATGTTTAATTTCAACATGCATTACTGCAAAAAGATTCTTGCGGAAGTTATTTCATTTAGGTTACCTTTATTACTTATATTGTTGACAGTAGTACGAGGAAATAAAATCGACGAAAATGAAGAGATTTGATACTTGAACACGAACCAAACAAACCATACGCGTAAATAAAACGAATTATGTAATGAATCTGTCTGCACCATTTTCATCGACTTTATTTAGACAGATGTAGTTGTAAGCATCAAGTGAAATCTAGTTTTTTAAATTTTTGTATATTCATTTCATGTATTTTTAGATCAACTTAATGCGTAATGTGAAATTAAGTACATCACGAGATTTTCGTATCAATCAAGCTACATTAGTTGCGCACTTAGAACAATCCGCTGCTCTAAGTGTTAGCAGTCTTAGTGAAAGCAACACTACAGATGAAGAAGAAGAAGAAGATAACTTGAGCAATGAAATTGTTAATTTTATTAATCCTACTGACAATACTACAGACAGGGGTGATGATCAGGCACATCCACCTTTGAGTGTGAGTGAAGAGCAGTGTGTTCGGGATGTTCATAGTGATGCTGATGAGAATAATATTCATGACGAAACTCATATAAGTCGACAAGTATATGACACAGGTAATGTCGATGAAAATTCGGAAAACGTACCATCAGTTGCTTTGTCTGAGTCTCGTACGGAGACACCTGTTTGGGGTCGAGTAAGTTGACAAATTCCTTTTTATATATGCTTTATATAATTTATTATTTCTGTTTTATTATACTGGTGAACATTTGAACAACTTCGCTGCTGCTGAATTATGCATACTTTGGACGTCATAAAAACTTTGTACTTGTTGATAATTTAAGAAGTAAGTAACTCAGAAACTTGGTCGAAAATCTTATTATTGAACACTAGGTGCTGCTCGTTGATATCTCTGGGCACTGAACGCTGAAAAAAACTTGAATGATCACTTTATCTACCGCTGTTTTTAATCTGAGTATGATAAAATAATTGAAAGTCGCACTTAAGCTTCCTTCATGTATGCATCTTAAAGTGTCTTCAGTGAAATCACATCGGTGTAATTATGATTTACCTGATCTTTTTTGTTGATCATATACTTCTCTTAAATTTCTTTTATTAGTTTTGTCATTTTACAGCACTCACTCGCTGTATGTATTTGTATTTGAGTAAGATGTAGTTCATTTTATGCAGTACCTGTACTGTACACTTCTTTTTTAACCAACCTTTTTGAAGTCCTTCTGATCAGTAAATCGTTTTGTGGTAGTATTCATAATTGACTGACATCAGTTGGAGAACCATTGGAAACCTGGGAGCATTGGATGGTTATTTCGTCTTAGTATTGGAATCCTTAGCAGCACACATCCACCACCCGGATTAGGATTGAACTTAGGAATTTCAAGTTTCACAACAAACGCGTTAATCATGTGATCACTGAGTCGGGGTTCAGTGGTTCACAGTTTTCAACATCTGTCTGTTCGCGGTATAGCGCGGCTATCACCCAAGGTCTTCACTTGGTATCCGCTTCCCTTCCGACTGGTTGACCCCCCACAGGTCATGACTTCTTGTTCGAACTTCTTGATATTCATCTCAAAACATATCACTATTGAGTACTATATAGTGATGTGTTTTGAGGTGATTAGGGATTTTAACTTTGAGATAGTATTGAACACCGACTGCGAATGCCAACCGAAGAACTTGGGTGATAGTCACGCTATATCTCGAAGTGATAGTAGTTGGAAATTGTGAACCATTGACCTCCAAATTCGTGTCTGAATGGTCAACGTGTGTGCCTTGAAACGTAAGGGTCCTGAGTTCAATCCGTAGCGCGGGTCATGGGTGCGTACTGCTGAGGAGTCCCATACCAGGACGAAATAGCTATCCAATGCCCCTACATTTTCAATGGTTCTACAACTGATGACAGCATGTGATGAATACTACCTCTTAATTAAAACCGCCATTCATCTCATAATAAATCTTTTTGTATTTAATTACAGAAGGTAAATCCAGTTTCACAACGCAAATCTGCAATTAGAAGGTCATTAGCATCGATTACCAATCAGATGAACACTAAAGCCAAAATGCCTAGAAGCTAAGTTTTCATAATAACGTTCCCATTGATGAGGAAAAGCTGAAAAATAAATTCTACTGTTCCAATTTCTATCTTTGTTACACTTCGAATCATTTGAATCATAATGAAATATACATCTTTTGTCTCCGGTAAACCTGTTTTTGGAAACATCTCATTATTTTGTTGAAATAGGTTTAGTACTGAAATGGTAGAGAGTAGTATGAGTTTTCTATGTAATTTAACTATGTGGTGGTTAGCAGTGGGATCCAAGGTGCGCGTTTCATCCTATTGGGGACTTGTCAGACGAGTATACCTGCACCTTAGTGAGTGATGATGTTCCCACTGCAGGTGGGGACCTCACACTCATCACTTCAGATGCCAAAACATTTCCTACTAGGTCACTTGGGTACGATAAGTATCAATAAAGTACTATAAATTGATTGGAGTAAAACGCCTTATATCGTTTTCGTGCAACGGTTTCAGTTTTCGCATATATTTTATTGGTTTTGCATAGGAGTGTTGTGAGTTTTAGACAACATCAACTAATACTAATCGCTCAACAGGTTTTCTTCGTGACTCAGTAGCTTAGTACATAGTCCTCTCGCATTTGAAGCTATTGTTGATGGTCTTGTGTATCGATGAGAATACCACCACTCACTGGGGTTTATTCTTTCCTGATAACGAGTCTTAAACGGTATGAAATCTGTCTCCTGGATTTTACTGTAGCCACTATCATACAAGTAACAACAATATAAGACACCTTTTCTTCAAAGGGTTCATACGATTATTTTGGGTCAATTTCTTCACCTGACAATGACTTTGTCGTTAATCAAATGGTTGCTGTTCAACTGATGCTGTCTTGTCACTAAGCTACTGCATAAAGTCAACCTGTTGCACAAATTTCTGCTAATCATATAGTATAAATATTCATCAGTCTTCCCCATTTAACCTAGGTGTTGTATATTTCGGTCATGCAGCAACAAAGAGACATTACCCAACTTTGTTTTCTTAGGCTATCAGTAATACAATGAGAAACTGATGTTTCTGGTATGATAAGTAATAATAGAAAACAATGACTGCCGGACTATTACTTAGGTTAACAATGGGATTATTAAGGCTTTTCCCAAAAAAAATTATCCTGTTAAATGTGTCGTATGAATGTTCAAAAGTATAATTTCTTTCAAGGTCATTTAAAAGATATTGCCTACCAATTTCACAATGCTTAAGACTAAAGAAAACTTGGTAAATAAATAATCTATACTGAGCATATTTGTTTTTATTCAATTCTCAGTAGTTAGATTTCTAACTATAATAAACCTCATAAGTTAATGCATGGATGGATCCTTGCTTGTTTAGACACTTTTTTTGTTGTTGCAAAGTTTATCCTTCTGCTTGTCATATAGAACTTAAATGAAATTATAGAAGTGTATCTGTATGATTAATAGTGGATATAAATCAAAATGAATCTGTCATCCATATATGTAGGTTTCAGGGCAAAATAATTAACTTGCTGTTGTGAAAGAAGTCAATGAGTCATCTTTACACATCTATTCTTTCTGTACACCTAAGCATAAAGTGAATTTCAGTTGAAGTAACCTGTTAATCACAAGATGGAAGTGTTTCTTTCATCATTGTGTTATGGAGCTTTATCTAATGCTTAGTTTGTCTTGAATAAGTCTCCTAGATTTATGATAGCTAAATATCTTTAGACCTGTTAAATACTATTGTCAACAACAATGAGATACACTTTGATTTTAACGTCAAAAGGAACATTATGTTAAGCTGTGATAATCATGTATAAGCTTATCATTTATGGTAATGGTGATTAATTTATTTCTTCGATCTTTTTTTCCTTATTTAATCAATCTATGCGTAAAGAATATCATTCTATATGGTATTTTTTTTGAAAAAAAAGATTCATTTAGTTTCTGATTTGTTGGTAAGTTACTCGGAGAATCTTAATAATAAATTTGCTGATCATTGATTCCTATCATTAGCATCAAGATAGACAGAAAAGTTTTTTACTCTCCAACTTTATGGCTTCAACAGATCGACTATGCACTATTAAGAAATTATATGCTCAGGTACTAATAAGTTGTATTGTATTCATTATTAATTGTTTTTGCCTTATCACACCACTGGTCAGTGTTTAGTAATCAGATCAATCAATAGCTGTTACCTTGACGTGGTGGTCGGGCTTGCATATCACAATGACCCAACGAGCTATGCTGGTGGAACGCTTGTTCCCTCGAGGTCCTACCATACCAGAAAGGTCTGTTGGATAGTGGTTAGACGAAGCAGTTACCGTTGTAGTGTAAATTGCTACACTATGATGAGGGTCTGAGGGTGAAGTCATACTGCTGCTAGCTGGATGAGGTGTGACAGCAGTAAGGTGTTTCTCTTGGATGACCAGGAGTGCCATGCTGATGCTGCCTTCTCAGTGGGAGGGGAGGGGAGGGGAGGGGGGTTATAAAAGGTCGGCCCCCAAAATAACACACTCCACCATGCCCCATGGTCTGCTGGGCTGGCGGTGTTGGTTTATTTGTCATTTCCTTTCGACCATCCGGCCCCAAAAATACAAAAGTTCAAAACAATCATACTCAAGTGGCTTTGTGTGACAGGCCTCAAGCAGATGTCTGATGGGCTGTGCGGTCACACAAATCTGTTTCAGGTACCTTAGTAAGAAATAGCCTTCCAGTGTGTGGATAGCCGGGAAGTGTCAACCGCCCTCACAACTCAACTCGATATCCGAATTTACTCATTTTCCAGTATAATGATAATTAGAAATGAGATTCATTTCTCATCTTTGAAGCGCAAACTGTTGTTTCTGAACTTGTCTACTTGAATTCTTTGTTTGATAATGGACAGTTAGGTATTTCAGTGGGCTAACCACAATATTCACTTGAAACGCTACATCAATTCTGGTGTTTTGATAGCTGACTGAGCGTCTCATGCAATAATCTCGTTTCTACTCTATCATTTTAGAAAAAGTAAGGTTGGAAAAAAGATAAGTGTGACCAAATTTAAACAGTATGAAGTCTCTGATTTTTGATATGATTTGTGTTGAGGGAATTTCTCGTACTTGATATCCATGAAACAACCAAATGATATAATTACTAATCATCATGTATCAGAGACGGTGTTCGATATGTGGCCAAGAACAAATTGCAGTGGTGCTATACAGCATGTCTTTATTTCTTGTTTCTCTTTATTTTATGAATTTTAAAAAAATGTCACAGGATTGCGTTTCTTTCTAATCGCTACCTTCTATTTTGGTATATTCAAGTGAAGTGTCATGTTTTGTAGGGTTACGCTATAATCCAACCTTCTATATTGGTAACACCAGGTTATTTTTCATCAACACTGTCACTTAGTATCCGATAGCAGTATAATTAGCATCCATCACATTTTATTCTGTGCAGTTCTTCCTGAAAACCGTCATTTGATATGCATGGTAGGCAACTGAATGTAGATCATAAAGTCAGATTTTCCTATTCGTCTAGACGGATACACAAGGTGAACATAAGACTAGGGGTCAGTGGATTACAGTGTAAGCCGCCACACCTCATATCAACACATCAAACTAGAGTGGACTAAGATGAAAGATGGAGAAATCCATAAGAAAGCATTCAAAGAATCCAGAAAGTCGTGATCAGATAACAAGAAAAACTAGAAAATACCGCATTTGGTAACACAACTAAAGTGAGGACAATGGGAAGGTAAACCTAGATCCTTCAACCACTGGTTTCTATTGTCAGGCTGTCCACAAGCAGGAAGTCTACATCTTTCTATACAGCTCAGGCCAACAGTCAAGGATTTCACGCAGTGATGCCATGTTTTAGGCTGGCCACCTGATCTTTTTTCCTACCTAATCTTACTTCCGCCAACATTTTG